TGACACGAGGTACGATTGAAAAGTGATTTTTTTACGCTCGTACGAAAACCTATCTCGTGGGCGTAAAAAGTCTGCTGACCTTGAACTTTACCGCGGCGTACAAAGTCTGCCCGTGCGAACGCACGCTTACTCACACCTTTTACTCTTAAAATTAATTAGGAAACGTTTCTTTCTTATTCCTAGGCATTTCGAAACTGCTGCTTCAAATATTCTTAGGAATACTTATAGTAATTAATTATACCTCGCTTCAAGCTGATTGAAGTCCAAGAATAATAATGGACGACCACGCCGCCATGTTTCAGATCAACCCGCGCCAATTCCTTGATGTAATCCTTCAATTCTTCCAGCATCGACTGATATTGTTCCCCTAAGAATTGTCGATCCAAGACTACGGCTGGATTAAATATTGTAAATTAATGAAAAAAAGATTCATACATATTAAATATTTGATATATTTTCTTACCAATTGAAGCATTCGCTGTGATCAAAGATGGAAAATCTTCTGCACTTCCTCGACACGATAAATATAATAAAAGCAGCACCCATAGCTTCATTTTGTGTCCTCACATGCACTTCATCAAAGGCTCCCTTCAAAAATGACCTTCCAATCATAATTCTTATTATAATTTTCGATATCCAATCAATAGCAGTTATTATTTCAAATCTAATTAAGAGGCAGGTGGCCGCGTTGGCATCGTAACGTTTAATATAGAAGCGTAAAGCAAGTGGTAAATGTTTAAGGGGTAGCGTTACCTGAACTTTCAAATACTTAACAAAGGAATTATACAGCGTGTGTTGTTCTTCATTAATTTTTTTCGCTGTTTCTTTTAAATATTGCTCCAAACACAGTTGGCTTGATTAAAATCAGCGGAAAATTGTATTAGAAATACTAAAATCTTGTTACACATTTGTTAGAATGTTCATTAATTGAATTATTCAAATGTAACGTCAGCAGTGTCTTACAATAATTACTATAATTAACTCTGTGCTATCCTTTTGTATGTAAGTTATGAAACAATTTAAGAATAGATCATCCTGTATTAAAGTGAGTCTGCTTAAAAGGTTACCGAAATAAATTATGCACACTAATTGTCGACATTCACCAAAACTCCGACGTTTCATTACGAACTAGTCATTTACTCATTTTTAATTCATTCAATTAAAGCTACCTAGACAAGCATACTTATCTATACAAAACTTCGATGATAGCTAACTTCGTGCTGTAAATTTGCAATAAAACTAACATCTGACGATACCATACTTGCGAAAAGTATAGACTTACAAGGATCTTATGGCACTTTTTATGACGTTGACGTCTGCTAGTTTTTAGAGTTACTAGCAAACTAAAAATACCTAATTTTATTCGAAATACTCTTTTGATGAAAACAAAACGAAACCATATGCAAACGATTTGGAACTTATGATCTGAGAGCCCTTAACAATTGTTTACTGTTTAAATTGACACCTCTTCACAAAATTATATAGGCTTAGGATTATTCAAGCAAAGTTGAGGTAGACTTAATATTTTTTTTGTTTTTTCGTCCAGAATTAACAACAAATAGTAATAATAAACTAGCATTATCACCCTCATCACCCCACATTAGATCAGCACATATGATTTTGTTTCAGGAATTTTGAAATTATGAAAATGGCAACAATCACCCGGGCAGTTTCCGCTTCCTCATTGGTCAAAATATGACACTTTTCCGATGACAACGTTAATTCTTAAATTTTCCAACTGCCATAAGATCCTTGTAGGCAGTTTGACATTGTCAAGTGCAGACAAAATAGTATTTTGCGACTATTATTTTGATAATTGATAAGCATAAAATGCCTAAAAAGTATTCAAAATGTTTTGTAACAGTGGGTACTACACGTTTTGATTTACTAGCCGAATACATAACATCAACATCTGTGCTTCAAGCTTTAAGAGAAATTGGTTGCGAAGAATTAACTTTTCAAATAGGAAACAGTGCTATCAATCCAGAGGAATTCGAGAAAGAAGGCATCAAGCTTAGTTTGTACAGATTTAAAGACTCGATACAAGAAGATATTAATAACGCGGACGTGGTAATAAGTCATGCGGGAGCTGGGAGTTGTTTAGAAGCATTAGAAGCACATAAACCTCTATTAGTCGTCATAAATGAAGAATTAATGGATAACCATCAGTTAGAATTGGCTGAACAGTTGCAAGTTGATGGACATTTATATTACTGTACTTGTGACACTTTAGAAAGTACTTTAAAAACAGTTGACTTCAATTTACTAACTCCATTACCTAAGTCTAACTGCTCATTGTTTGTTAAATATTTGGACGATGTGTTTAAAGTTAAAAGTACTTAGTAATAATGATTATTAGGTTCTTCCACTAGTTATTAAGAAATATGAGCTGTTAGAAAAATTTTTGATGTATATTTGTATATATTTTTGTTATCTAAATGATAAGCTAATATATATTAATTCAGTTTGGAGCTATGATATCTGTAAAATTACCGCATGTGTATTATATTTAAAAAAAATTGCAAAATAAAGTACCAACATTGTGGTAAAATTGGTTAAATAAAACTGCATTAAAATTTACTATCTTAATCTGTTTCCTATTAAGGGTCCTTAGGTAAAATATGCCAAAGGATAAAACAAATCTGGTTTTATTTACTTTTTACATTTCATCATCATCATCATCTCCTTATCCTACTCCCGTAGGGTCGGTGCAACAGGTTTTTGTCCTCCACATAACTCTATCATACATCATCTCAGTCATCACTCCCTTTTTGATCTTGTCACCTTTTACACAATCCATCCATCTCCTCCTAGGTCTAAACTTTTTACATTTGTAAATAATAAAACCATAAAAACATTCTGTAGTAGTATTTATTGAAAAAATACAGATCATTTACAAAAAAAAATCACAAAACAAAACTACTGTTTAAATTATTTTAGCATTTATATTACAAAGAAATAGCACAATACATATTTAAACTAGTTTCTTAGCCTCAAAGAAGCTCTTGAGATGCCTCATCTGCCAGTAGCCGATACCAATGAGTACACCCGTCTGCAGCAAACTCCACCACAATACACGCTGGTTTGTGCTCTCCGATGTTTGTCTGAATCTCTCTTCTCTTTGCTGGAAAATAGAATTATATTAAAACACATTGTATATAAGCTAGACAACAAAAGTTGTCTAAGTAACTACAAAGTAAGATAGTCATAAATTGAGAATAGAATTATTATTTTTCCACCAACTTTTCTGTACTTTATCAGGTCACAATGATTACATAACATTTTTCTCTAGAAAATAGGAGCTTAATTGAATATTACAAGGTAACAAACAAGCAAGCGGCCACCAAAACCCCATCCCTATGTTTTGACACTACTTACTTTAAATGTGTGGATAAATCCGAAAAAATGTCATGCAAGACTAATAAAAAATACAAGCCAACAGCAGTGACAAAAGCCTTCATTGTCCTTAAGAATTTTTTTTAATAAAAATTATTAATAGATTTTTGTTAATTTACTAATATTTCCTTTAACCATTCCAACTAAGCTCTAGGCTTGTGCAAGGATATAGTTTACGACAATAGTCGAATAGCGGGAACCCTCGACCGCAAGATCGGTAGTCCATACTCCAAACCATTAGGCTATTGGCGCTTAATTTGGCATTAAATTTAAACATTTGCAAATGATAGTTTTATAAAATGTAAACAATTGAAAACATTTAATATGCAGAAGAATCCACACAGAACAAGCTAGTACAAAACAAACAATATATTTAATATTTAGTATTCACCCTTTGATAGCTCTGCTCTTTAGTGATTTGGTGCACCTGATCCAGTAATTGTCTGATTCTAAGCTGGAGTTCCGACAACTTGTCCTTTTTAGCTACACTCGCATAGTCCACTGCATGCTCTCCCACTTGAATATCTAAATGTACCTGCAAACATAATACAATTACAAATAAGATAATAGTCAACTATCTAATACTAGCTTTCATCCGCAGGGAATTAAAAAAAACAATAGTGAGGAGTCTATGTGTTCTTCCAGACTATCCTCTATGTATATGCCAAATTTCATCTAAATTTGTTCAGCCATTGAGGCTACAAATTCTAACAAACATCCATCCATCCACCTAAATCTTTGCATCTATATTACTAAGAAGTAAGATTACACTTGCAAAAGGTTTGATGTTTGTTAGAGTTTGAATAAACAGCTGAGAGGATCTCAATGAAATTTGGCATAGATGTAGTGGATAGTCTGGAAGAACACATAAGCTACTTAGATTTATTTTTTTCAATTCCATGTGCTCATAGTTGCGGGCGAAAGCCAGTAGGTTATAATGTGAATATTATAGTGATATTCTGTATAAAAATAAAGTACATTATGCAAATCATTTCAGTAGAAACACTATAAAACTTTCTGGATTCTACTTGAGTTTATTTTTAAATGATACAAGGTTGTAGCCGCTGTGACACTGTCCAGTAGGTAGTTGTAATATAGTATGATATAAAAATAAACTATTTAATTATAATGGCAACTTGATTAAGCAGACTAATTATTGTTAGTCATCCAGATAATGGAAAATTCAAATATATATCTCTATACAAGTTCAAGAGTAACAAATATCCATCCAAACTTTGGCATTAAGAACATTGGTAAGATATTCAAATTGAAATGGTGTAGTAACAGTTGTTCAAACAAAGTGTGCTAAGAGTTATAAAAGCAAATACACTATTGTCCAAATTTTTAAACTTGGCATACAAAATTATAGCTTGTCAATTTATAAATTGGTATGCCTAGTTTTGAAAAAAAGCTTTTTATAAAGATATTTACTTAAGACACCTCATTTATAACATTGCTGAAGTGTGGATTATATTCTAGCACTAGTATACAATTCTATCAATACATTTTTTTTATTGTCTTGTAAGTTGTATTGTATTGGAATATATAAATGTTCAATTTTAACTATCAAGATGGTTAAAACTTTAGGTTTATGAATTAATGTAAACTTACCCTTAACTGAGAACCACTGAACCATGATGTACTATTAGAATACATGCAGATTACATGTTCACCGGGAGTAGTGGATGTGAAAGAGTACATTCCCTCTGACGAGTACACACGGGAGAGTACTATTTTGTCATTAGGGTCTCTCACTTCTACATGCATTCCAATACCAGGTGTGGATGGCATGAAACCTCCAGATCTAGGATCATATAACTCCACTTTGTAATTAACTGAAAAAGATGAGATATTGAGTTTGTGCTAAATGATTTGAAAATAAACGATTAAGTACATTTGTGAATTGCTGAAAAGGTACCGCAAGTCTTTTCTTTCATCAAGAGTTAGCAAATTGTTCATTTGACTAAATTTACTAAAATACAGCTTTAAACTTTATTAAAATATCTATAAATACGCTACATCACGAAGTCTTTACAAAAATAAATGTCCTAATACAAAAAGAAATGTGTTACCCACCTATAACTGTAGTGTCGTCAGGGATTTCCTCTATGAAACATTTTCTTTCACCCTCTGCTATGTGAAAATATAATGCTGAGGTTACATCTATTAATAGGAATAATGCTATAAAAGAGGATAATTTGTAAAACATATTGTTTTCGTATTTAGAAAATTAATATCGGCAAATCAGCAAATGTATCGATATGACATGACACACGTCATCTTACGCTACATTTTGTTTGTTTCGATTCACGCTTGAAAATCTTTGTAAGTTCCGTTGAACTGGATTAAAATAATAATTTAAGGTCTAATCATTACTAGTATTTACTGTATTAAAGTAATTTGAAATTGTTTATGTTTTGTTATCAATTTGAATCAACAAATACCTGAAAAATGCAAGTTTCTGTTGGCATTATGTGTTAAATATTTTTGCCTCTTTCTAAAAATAAAAATATGTGTGCTGCTGACGTTTTGACATAGATTTGACACTGACATTGACAAAACAAATGCAATAAAAACACCATCTGTTTTACTTTAGTTTTTATTTTATTCCTGTAAATATTCTTTACATTACATAATATTTAAAATATTAAATTCATGCTCGTCTAATAAAATTATTAAAATACGTAATTTTCTTAAAGAAAATGGATCCAGTTTTTCTGACTGTAGCTATAATTAGTGGCTTAAGTTTGATTATATTTACATTTGCGTTTTTCCGTTCATTTAAAGACCGACCTCAACGTAAGTTTTATTTTTTTTAACTATGGTGTCTAGTCAACAAACAATTGCAATAAAGCTTTATAATTGGTTTTGATAGCTCGAGCTACTAAACCCACCGCAGTTGCGCCACGCGATGGAGGCCCCAGCAGGGTACAAGCTGTCAGGAATCAGAGGGCTCGGATGAGAGCTAATGGTAAGTTTTTAAATTAACAATAATGAAAATCAGGTATTAAAAATTTTATCACCGTCAGAAAGGTAATCTATCTGTGAGTAACATGGGCTATAGGTATGTATATGTAAGAAATTAAAATATTTTCAGCCGCACGTCATCAAGCAGCACTGATTGAAGAGGAGCCCGCTGCAGTGGAGGCAGCAGAGGTTGAAGAAGAAACTGCTTCTAGTAGTCAGAATGTAGAATTTGTAGACAAAATGGGGGCTAAGGTAATAGAAATTCAAGTTAAAAAAATTAATAGATATATGAAGAGTAGTTTGTGGGTTTATTTAACATTTTCTGTGACACTAAAGTTTATTAAACATGTTAAGAATTGGAATAAAACTGTACTTAAACTTATAATTAATGCATATGAATATTCTAGAATGTTCTAGGAAAATAGCTGTAACATAAGATATAAAAACATATGCTGTTAGTATTTATGACTTTAATAATGTTGTCAACTTCATACAGAAACGGGCAAAAGTAGAAGCTAAAATGGAAAAGAAGAAAGCTAAAGAGGCCGAAGATCAAATGAGGGAAATGAGGAAAATGGAAGAACAGAAGCTTGAAGAAGAAAAAAGAAAACTAGACGAGCAGAGAGAAGTAAGAACCCATATTCTTTCAATCTTTTCTTTTACATTAGTATAGATAAATATTATACATGTCTAAATAATGTTTTGGTCATATCATTTGACCATATGGGCACAAAATTCAACCTTATGTTAGTCACAAATTTAATTCTTTATTTATATAGGAAGAAGAACGAAAAGCAGAGGAAGCAGAAAAAAAGGCAGAGGAAGAACGTAAGAAACGTGAACAAGAGGAATATGAAGCAATGAAGGCAGCTTTCACTGTGGAAGGAGAAGGTTATGATGAGAATGAGGAAGAAAATAAAGATAATATGCTGAAAGATTTTATTGATTATATTAAGGTAAATTAGTTCATATATCTTTTTTAGAAATAGGGACAGTAACAATTGTGTGAAAACCATTTGGTCTCTCCATAAGGGTCTTTTTAGCTCCATTAGGCATTTAGGCATTTCTTGGTTCTACATAAATAACCAAAATTTACAAATCTTTACAGGCACAAAAGGTTGTCTTACTCGAAGATTTGGCAGCACATTTTAAGTTGAAAACTCAAGCTGCGATCGACAGAATAACTGATCTCCAAGCGACAGGCGAACTTACAGGAGTTATTGACGACAGGGGAAAGTTTATTTATATCTCTCAAAAAGAATTAGAAGATGTAGCAAAGTTTATAAAACAACGTGGGCGAGTGTCCATCACAGACTTAGCCGAGTCAAGCAATGAATTAATTAACTTGAATCCAGTTGCTGTGTCTTAATTTAAATTTGTCACAAAAGCCATTTTACTAAATGTATATAAAATATATATTTTTTTCATTTACAAATGTTCACTTTTTATTTTCAACACCAATTTCAGTGACCAGTCTAATTGGTTATTTTTACTTGGATTAAAATTTAAATACACATGTAGAATCAATACAAATGTTTATTAAATTATAAATATAAACAACATTATTCATCCAATTCATAACCAAACATATCTTTGCCTTTCTCCACTAATACTAAACTTGATTCTTTAATCCTGTCCAATATCTCCAAAAGTTTTGACTTTGTGAACACCTTATAAAGACATCTGTTTTCTCCGGCAATCAAATCACTTAATTTAACTGCTTCTTTGTGATTATTGATATCATCATCGCTTTGCAGTATCTTTAAGATCAGTATAGTAACTTCTGGAATGCACAGTTTCCTCAAAGTCTCCAGTTGTTTTTCTCTGTCCTGTTTATCTTCTTCTGTAAAGTTTTGGGAGGATGTGCCATCATTTTGATCTTGCAGCCAACCACCGGGAAATAGCAGGACATCATATAATATTTTTTTAGCATGTCGAGCTTGATAATATACAGTATTTTTCCATTGAGCCTTCTGTTGTTTAACAACCGCAGTTCTTTGTTCATGATGAACTTTATCAGAGAAAGTTGCATCGGCTGACAAGGGCTCCACATCTTTAGGCATTCCACTTATATACTGCCTGTACCATGTAGCAAAACATTCTAGACCTTCCAGATATGTTTTTAAACACAAATATTCCCGAAGTTCTGATGAACATGTAATTCTATCATTTACAATATTTGAAAACAATTTCTCTAGATTAACAATACATGATGATGCTGCATCAGTGTTGCCTAGGAAAATAAATTTCCTTGCCATAGCATTACACAACCAAAGGGCTTCTATTTGTTGGTTTTCTATCAGGGAAAGCCATTCTAATGAAGATATAACATTGTCAATTAATGGTTTATCCTTTTCAAAGGCAGTTTGATTTATTGACATTTCAATATCACCATAACCTTCTTGGATTCCCGCAATACTTTTTAAAATAGCCAATCGTGCTGATGCGGCAACATCTAAACCTGCATTAATACCAGCTTTGACAACACCTTCTCTCAAATTTCTTTTGTATATTTTATCCATAAATTCTGCATATAAATGTATTTGTCTATCATTTGGCAGTACTGAAGTATAATATGCTATAAGTTCAGGACTCTCCTCTGATCCAGTAATAAGTGTGTTCACCAGCTGAGTGACATATTTCTCCAAAACAGTATCTCCAATATCATGATGTGGGTCCTTGCCCATCAGTCTCAATACCAGTACCAAATGTGCAAGGAATCTAACAAATCGTTCATCACCATTCTCCAGCCAATTCAAAGAATCTTGCATTATTGCTCTTACACTACCTAACATTAAATACCTCTGGCAAATTTGATAATTTGATTCCCTTTTACCATTCATAAGAGCTTTAATAGCACTGAATATTTGCTGCAAGGACATTTCTTCTACATGCAGTTCTTTCTGTAATAAATCCATGACTTCTGTAGTAGTTGTATTTGCTTCCGCAGTGGCATGATGTTCATTTAGAAATTTATCAACTCTTGCAACAATTTGTACTCGGAGATGTGCCCAAAGCAAATCTTCCCAATTTCCTTGGCAGATTGGAATAGCACTTGCTAAAGAGCCACACAGAATTGCTACTGTAGCTCTGTAATGCATATTTTCCGTAACATTATTAGCTATTCCCAAAGCACACCATTTCCAAAGGTCTCTAGAAGGATTTCCAGCAATTTCTACAGGAGAATTAGAGTTTTCTCTTGGTAAATAATGAAGCAACCTCCAGCCTTGCAGTGCAGCACCTCTCCAAGCTTGACCAGCATTGATACAAAGAGACACTGCTTGTTCAAAGTTACCACATCTCACTTCTGTGAAAATTCGCTTACATAAATCATTATCATCCTTCTGATCATCCGAATGAATAGCTTTCTTTTGACGTCTTGGTGCATCAGGGTCTAAACAAGTAACCATAGCCGTGTTCTTCTCCTTATTAAACAAACTATTCCCAATAAGGAGCTCATGAAGAGTGTTTCCCCAATGTATATCATTCCCTACCACTGTTGCCGAAGTCTTTGTTGCCTCTTCTTGGTATGCTGCAGTCGTTTCAAGCCAATTCACCAATACAAGCATAAGTCGCAGTCCAGAATCCGTTTTATATAGAGCATCGACTAACGTCTGCTGAGACAAAGTTACCTCAGTTATCAAACTGTCTAGCGACTCTGGGTGATCTAATAGTGTATCCGCGTACAAACTATATAGAAGCTTCCATGTGTTAGCTTCCTCAGCTAGCCAATAGTTATGCGCATTATATCTATTCCATGGTTCAACAAGCTCCAACGACTCATAACAAACATGGGCTAACCTCTGCAATGTATGTAAGACATCGCTGGGCCGGCTCGATTGTATTATTTTAAAGAAAGATTCACTTAATCCACCACCGGCATTTCCTGCGTTCACGATGGTAGCAGAGTCATCTAAAATCTGCCTTAAACTGGTATCGTTTAAATGTCTGGAAATAGATGTTTCGTTTAATATTGACGATAGATTTAACGTATCTTCTCTGGCTACTAAAATTCTAGAACGTATGTTTTTTAACGGTGTAAATTGCGTCGAGTGCAGTTGAAAACTGTCGTTATTCATAATTACTGCAAAATATTGACTTCACAAAAATACAAACTTATTTGAATTGAAATCAAGCTGGATTTTGGATATTTTAAAACTATGAAAGAAACATTGCGCCAAAGCACAGTTTTGCGCGCCTTGAAACAGATTATAAATTTGACACAACGGATAAAGGTAATAAAAGCTGCGTTAAATATGATTTGTTGCAATTGCATAAATCCTGTAAAAACAAGTTTACCTAATGATGGTTTTAAGTGACGGAAAAGAACATAATTTTTGATTTCTATCTCAGGTTTCTGCATAGTAAACTAGTAAACCAACAAGTTGAAACATTTGGTAACGCTCACAACTTAATACTGACTAACTTAAAAATAAAGATTGTTCAATCCGATTGTTGAATGGATTCCAAAGTATTTTATTTCTCAAAAACTACAGAATGTTTCATCTTGTTGAACGTAATAGAATTTACTTATTCTTTTCCACTACAACAGGGAAATTTAAGCTACTGTAATTATCTCTTAGATAATTAAAATAGTCATTAACTCAGCTGAACTTATCACAAAACATTGTCGAAAAATACTTCGTCCAGGTAAGAATAGAAATTTAAACAGTTTTCAGATAATGACAAAATTTCCAAATATTTAATTATGATTTTTCTGCATGTTTGGGAAGAATTAAATTATCTTGATATAACTTTTAAAGTGTGAAAAAATCACTTCAAGTATTTGATAGTAATTGGTAACAACTCAAGTTTTACTTTTCTACGCAAGGTGAAATTTTTGAAATCTTAAAAAAACCTAAGTATAATAAATTAGACATTTCGATTTATATGACCAATTTTTTTAACAATAGGAGATTTTTTTGCATTACAATTTCGTACCTTACCGTATCCTTACTTCACTTCAATCTTCCTTTCCCCCCTTCGTATAAGATAGTCGTTGCGTGCAAAAGGTAAGATATTTTCTTAATATTTAATAAATAAATTCGTCTATTTAGAAAATAAAACATTAATATATTAGAAATGAGCTAAATTAGCTCTTACTACTACAAGTGAAAGAATTTTTATCAAATCAAATGTAAAAATTACATTTCTACTTCTTCAAACTTATGAAATTAGTGAATAGTTCAACATTTTGAAGTATTTAACTTGAATAATCATATGAAGTAATTAAATTAGTTGATTATTTGTTTTTTTATTGTACAAGTTAAAAATCATACCATAGCTGCAACTTTGTTTTTTGTGAATAATTTACATTTTTATATTGAAAAAGAATATTGATTTCCTTTTAACGTTTTTTTTATATATCTACAATACGATTTTACAATACTTGTAGATTTATAAACTTCAAAGTTAAATTAATTAAGTATGCCATACAAATATTACAGGAGAATTGCAAAATAATCAACTTCTTAGATTAATAAAATCCATCATATGATTTTTATTTATTTTTCTAAATATGAAGTTTTACCAAACTACAAATTGAAGAAGGCAAGGAAATTAGTTCTTTCCGTTTGTTACACTTTGAAATTATGTTCAATGCGAGAAATATTTTATTATTTCCTTTAACTCAATATAATTCAACATGTATTTATAACTGGATTTATAAGACTACCATTAAATACCAAATTGAGTTATTGTTAACAGTGTTTACTATTATTTTTTTTATTTCCATCATGTCAAAGAACATTTTACAGAAGTATATGTTTCATAGGCAACAAGTTTATATTATTATTTCAAATATGTTAAGATTCTTATAAAGAATCCTCTTAAGCTTTAATTTGCTTATAATTATAAAATGTATTGTAAAATAAAGTAAATGAAATACATTTTCAAAATCTTTTGTAGTATAAACATTGTTTACTTTTTTCTAAGTAAAAGTATAGAGATTATGTTTTGAGTAGCTATAAGTGATGGCATTGTTTAAGTAGAAATATAATAACAAGCTAAAATATAGCAGGTTCCCTATTGTGAGTTTTGTATTAGTGGAATGACTTTAAAACTAGTTCATTTGGTTAAAAGTTTACAGTTGTTTAAAGGCAGATACAAACAAATGAATGTTAGTACATTGCAATATTTCTTATACTGAGGTTGTTTTATAGTTATTAATTCCTTAAATGTGAATAAAATTTTGGTACAATTGTTTTATTTCTCTATTTTAGGAGTAAGCTGCAATGAAAGCCCGAATGATGAGATTGAAGTCACAATATTGTTTAAAACACAGGTAAGAATGGATTCAATACATATTTGTATATAAAAAAGCGATTCATTACATTGAAAAATTAATTATTGTATCCTAAATGTTGTATGTAATGTTGTTGTTGTAAGGTATGTTCTTTTTAACTTCTTGCATAACATCCTAACATCCTAAAAATATCATTGAATGTTCCATCATGAAACCATGATAAATGAACCAGTATAAGACATCTGCAGTTTATAATTTTATTTACAAAACAATCAATACATGTTATTGAAGTACAGAGCTAAATAATATATTATATAAATAACCCCAAAATAAAGAAAAAGTTTGTAGTAGATAGCCAAAAGAGAAACTTAAGTTTTTTTACTACTTTCAATTATATTATATCTGTGTTAACATTAGTCTACTATAGCAGCATGAATTAGTGATAATCGAAAAAAAAAAGTTGAAATGCATAAATTGCTACAATTTTCAGGAGCATAGTAAGGCTTAAATTTAAGAAAAGTTTAAAATATTAATCAATGGTTTGCAATAATTCTCAGTCTCAGCCTCGAAGCTCTCGGCATTGACTATATAATTTCCCTATATACATTTCTTTTCTTTTCTCGATTTTATAGCATCTCAGATAATGACGTATAAGTGACGTGCTGAGAACGATACGAATTACGCAATTTCATAAGTCTGTTGTACTGAGGAACTGAGTTAAATTAATTTTATTGGATAACTTTTATATCATGCTAGACGTGGTTTTTTTTTTTTTATCAAAAAGTCATCAACACAAAGATTAAAAATATTCCTTTAATTATACATCGACGACATCGACTTTATATAATCTGTGCTCTTAATCGAACCGGAAATGGGAGTTTGAGTGATTTTTAAAAACGAAACAAAGATTTGTTCAAAAATCTGCAAGATTCGTGCGAACGTTAAAATGCTTTAATTACTCTTGTATTTATAAACTCAAAAGATGGCAATTATAAAATACTATAATGAATTTCGTCATAATTTCATCAAAATGGTTCCCATTGTTGAACAATAGCGTGGCGGTAAAGTAAATGCTATCATTTGAATGACTTACTTTCTGAAATTAATCTATATATGTAAAAGCTTGTTCCGTAATTATTTTTTAATTCATCAAAATTTTGTAATTATATTTCTATTGTACGCATCTACCTGCTATATTTATAAGTACTTTTATCGTCACACATTTGACTTTACCGCGCAAGTACCAATTCATGTCATGTTCGCCATCTCTTTTGCACAACTTTTCTCAGCATCTAGTGTTTGGTGCAGAATACGTTTGTTCGCTAGTATAAATTGGTTATTTAAATAGAATTTTTTGTCTATAATACGCCCTATATAACCAAAAAATTGTTTTCTTTTAGTAGTCAAGTGAATATTAATTTATACATGTCCATACAGTTCAATTTATTTAACGCGACGCATCATTGGCTTCCCGTAAAAGTGTTTTAGAAGTGTATCATTTCCTGTTTCATATCATACAGAAACAAGCAACTGCGATCGCTAGCGTATTCTTTTCGTTATCACGTGGGTCAAATTTTGAATAATGTGGATATCTGTGATGAATTTTTATTGTTTACCGTGCGATATTTGTGTTGTATGAGTGCATGCTGTATAAATACACAAAGACCGGCCTGTAATCGGTGTTAATCATTGTTTTCAGGTGTGCGGCGAGCGGCTCCCCGCCGTATATTTGGTACATGGAACCGGCGGGAGACTGATAATGGTTGCCACGAATTGTGTTGCAGTGGTTACAGTGTTGTGAAGTAGTGTTGAGTGTTGTTACATAAGGGGAAGATGGTTAATTTAGAGAGCCCGCCCTGACGCGCCTAGCGGCGTCAGCGACGGGCGGCGCCCGGGTCATGGCCCCGGCGCTCTCCGTCGCTTCCCAAGATCCTTTCGACGCGATCGAAACCTTCGAGAAACCTCCTAGACGGGCGCTAGCGTCCGTCAACAACCTCGCAACACACATGGAGGAAGAAATGGGCCTCCAAAACCAGCCTAGCCTCGCTAAGGACTCACAAGAGATGGAACAAATTCTGGTCGACTTGGGCAGTAGTGATATCGCTCAGGCAGACCTTCTTCAAGCTATCAAGACCTTAGAATCCGGCGGCGATGCATTATCCACGGGTGAAACTGATGCCATTTTTCCGTTATCTGGCTTTGATTTGACTGAAAATGCTGATTCGGAAGGAGACGCTGCCGAGGATAAAATTAAACTGCTTCAAGTGAGGTTAGAAAGACGTTGCGCGTTTTTACAGCGGCGATTACGAATACTCCAGGCTAGAGCTATAGGCAAAAGAGTATCTGAGGAAGTGGCTCAGACATTTGAAAAGTCCACTCGAGGAGCCAGGAAAGATGGTGGAGGAAGACCAATGGGCTTAAAAGCTTTCTTGAAGAAGATTGAGACCAGTGCTACATTACAAGCTAGTGCTGCATCTAGGACGCTTGTTGGGCCTAAATATTACCGTGCTAGTACATCTAAAGGGGATGCATCCAGGTCTGCATCAATTGGTATATCATCAGGGACATTGGCTGGCTTGGAAGATACAGCAGGGGCATTGCGGTCCAACTTGTCAATGGTCAAAGTTCAACTGGACTCGGATGCCACAGCATCATCCTCTGGAGCAGAAAGCAATGATGAGGCTGTCAATTATAATAATCCACATCAGGAGAAAATGCCAATGTAAGTATATTCACTGTTCTCACATTCTCATCTTTACAAGTGCTTTATAGTTGAAAAGCCAATCTACTACATAACATTTACTACTAATATAATCTTTAACAATAATTCAAGTTTAGAAACACATACTTATTTGGCATAGACAGTGAATGAGATCCTAAATGTATGTAAACAAAGGTTTTCTTTTAATGTATTATGAATAAATCAAAATGGATGTAGACAGTTTTTTAAAAGAGGGGAAAATTTTCTATTACATTGGTGTTAAGATACAAAACTGTGCAGAACTCCTATATCATATGAAATTAGTTTGTTATTGTTTACCACCTGTAAAAAACAATAAAGTCATAATTGAAGTGCAAAAGACATGATTAAATAATTTCTATTGTATCTGTTTTCTGTGGGCTTCTGTCTACAATTTATTGCATATTTTTATTGAATTGCTTAATGTTAAATAATGCCATTTATACACCTGTATACCTTTCTAGTAGTTAGCCTTAATAAACTTTAAAAAGCCTTGATTACTTTGAGAAGAGAGTTTCTATTCTATTTCTTGTTTATGGATCTCCCACAGCGGGAGAAGAGAGTTAAAGTAAGAAAAGATATTCATGCACTCAATTTATACTTACTATAGTTATATTGTTTATTAGATGTTGCCTGTGACTTTGTCCATGTGAAATAATAAAATATATATGTTACTCACAGATAAATTACCTTTTTAATGGTGAAAGAATTTAAATCAGCCCAGTAGTTGCATGAATCAAATACATATAAACATTTTAAAATCCATATCTTTCTTCTTTATATTAGTATATTTAAATTTCATTGGATTTTGATTTCCAATAACTAATATCTGTAACTTGTGCTATATCTGACTGTAAACAGAAACCTTTAATAACTTATCAAAGTAGGTCAATTGAATGAGATTTTAGAAATTGTTTAACTATTATGTCTATTATGTGGTTTATTGCTATAAGAAAGTTTATATTTTTCCCATTGGTTAAATATTGCACAACAATTTCTAATAGGTCAAATTTCACTTTACTATTATTGCATCATACAGTACTATTTAAGATACTTCTATACAAGAATAGAAACTAGAAAACTGCCTATTTATGACAATTTTAGTTCAGTTTTTAGTTATACCATGTTTTTAGAGTTCATTTTCACAGCTGCTGTTTTTTTAAAAAGGATTTTGTTACAAATAAAAGGCTTGTATTTAATTCTATTTATAGGTCTAACAATTTTATGCTTATTTTTCAAGGGTCCTTATCTCCAAAGCTTTGTTGAAATCCTTTAGTAAAGTATGCAGACTTATATGTATTGTTTTTGTTTACAGTGAGAAGCGAGCTCTGTGGTCATGGCAGAAGACAAGAGCATCGATAGCGGCGCGCTGGTGCTGGCTGCAGGCGCAGGTCCAGGAGTTGGAATACAAGATACGGCAGCACAATGAATTACACAAGCAGGTATGTCTGATGTTTGTTATCTTACTTATTACTAACATGCAAATGTTTAGATGGATGGATGTTAAAAGATATCTGAAAATGTGCAATGAATTTTGATGAAATTAGGCATAGATGTAGAACACCGTCTGAAAGGACCCTTGGGCTATTTGTTTTAGTTTTTTTCTTAATTCCAGGCAGACAGAATCATAGGAATCTCCCTAAACTTCTAACCAGTACTTTCATTAAGTTGTGATTTGACCTTTGTGTACCCTCAGCTTTATTTACATATTATGTATATATGTACCTGGATTTTCATTGACCACAAAATCAAACATAGGGAATTAAATTATATAAAATGAAATTATATCTAAGAATACAATATATTTATATTTTTATTGTAGTACTAATGCTATCACTTGTCTTTGATTGGGAAACATAGAAACTCCATTAGAAGTTAGATAAAAATATAGTAAATGTAGTGCCCATACTAAACCATGACCTTGAATGTTGTAGCTGTCTAAATATGCTAATGTTATACTGATAGACATGTTAAAACCTGTTCTGAAATTTAAATAGGTTAACACATTTACTGTTACCTTTTACATATTGTTGCCAGGGGCTTTTTCTATGTTTATTTTAGTTTTATAAATTCTGCAGGGTTGTCATATCAAAGAGTTTCTATTTAAAATTAAGTAACTGGCTGGTTTTAACTGAATGATTTTTTTTTCATAAGAAGTATTTCATTGAAATAGATGTAGAATGAAATTTTATGTAGATTTGGATATTACATTACTTTAATTACTAAAATAACTTTATGAAAACATGCTAGGTAACTAACCATGAGAAAGATACAAATTAGTAATATAAATACTGTTTTCCATGTAAGATTTACATTTCTTCTAGCATAAATTATAATACTTGAAGAAGTAACTAAGCAATTTATCAGATTCCTTATGTTTTGGATTTTTTTATATCATTCCAGGTTCGAGAAGCAAAAGGCGCCGTGCAGTTAGAAGGTGAGCCTGTGGGATACGAGGGGTCTTTACCCGGAGATGACGGGGTAGCGACGTGCGCCAGGGTACGGCCCCTGAGGAGGGACACGTTCAAGAAGAGAAAGTTGCTGCAAATGCACAACTTGCATATCGCCACCCCTAAGGCTGCTAAACCTTCGGATGTAAAGTAAGCATGTTATTGTATAAAATATTTAGATTAAAGTTAAAATAAAAAAGTCGTACAAAGACTGTGCTTATTGAAAATTCCATATCTTTGCCTATAGCTTTTAGTTAGAGATTTTATGGTTATCATGATGTTTTAAATTTAATTGAATGCTCTGTGTGTGGTTGTCTCCATACAAAACATATATTTGAAGCTTTCACATATCATGACAAATCCTTTGTAAGGATTGGTAACAAAATTTTCCGGATAGGGGCAAGTAGATGAATTATGCGTTATTGGAAGTAGTATTTGAAGTAGATAAATTCTTTAAACCAGATGTGGCCAACCTTTACGTAATTTTAACTCGTTCGCTCTTCGTACCTTTTTAGTGCATAAAAATTTTGTAATCATGTGCCAATTGTTTTCCACCCCTGCTCTATGTGTTTGTATGATTGTAACATGTATGTGTATGCAGATGCAGCTGCCGCTACCCTGCGGAGAGCTGCGCGGTGTGCACCGGCCGCGCGGAGCCCACGCAGCCGCGCTGCTGGGCCGCGCTCTCCGCGCAGCAGCGGGTCGCCTTGCTGGACCCCGGGTACCATCCCGTGCTCAGCGACGTCAGAGGTACCGCAAACACCACACTACATACACCACACAACTACATACACAACACAACTAGGTGCACCACACAACCACCTACTTCACACAGTCAAATAAACTATGCACCTTATACCACTGAACCTATTTTCGGAATTTAACAGTGATAGAGGTTGTTTTAATTTGTTTGCATGAATGTACTGTGTGCCAGCAGAGGCCTCTTTTAGTCCACTTTCCCTTTTCGTACATCTATGGGAAGGGGATTTGGATTTGTGTATTTATATCAAATTTTGTTTTCGTCATACTATTCGCTATTAAAACTGTTTAAAATGTGTATTTTACAACTTCAGATATATCTCCTGCGATCCACATGAGCGCTTTGACATCGCGCGCGTGGTTCCGGTCGCGGTGCAGCAAGGCGTACCGCGGCGCGCACCACGCCGGCACGCCGCGCCCGCAACATCCGCAACATCCGCAACATCCGCAACACGTGCAACATATGCAACACTACACCACAACTACCACCAGCCCGCACAACAACACCGTCAAGAAACATCCCACAAGTAAGTAGATCATTACCATCACTATATGTCCCTACCAAGGGCCCTGGAGCCTATACTATGTTAGTGACTAGGCCATAGACAACAACTCTGCACTGAGGGTTGACTTCACACGTATCTTTGAATTTCTTCACCATTATGTGCAGGTTAACAATGTTTTCCTTCACCGTAAGAACTTTAGGTAAATTATGTACATATAAAATCGAAAATCAAAGATCACATTGGTACAGCGAAATTCGAACCCAAAACCTTTAGGTTGATAGATTGTACCAATCACTTGATTTAAAATGGAATTTTCCCTGTGAAATAAGTAATCTAAATCTCTATTTAACCTATGTTCTTTATTATGTTCTACATTTGTGAAGTTATTCTGGAGATATCTTCTATCAAATATCCATCTATCCATCAAGATTTTGAATTTGAATAATCTTTTTCAATAACTTGAAGAAAAATTGTAATTATGTGAAAATTAATATGAATGTAATTTCTATTTTCAGGATTGAAGCGAGGCAGACCTCCATTGTCGAGAAAAATTAAAGAGAGGGAAAGAGAGGAAGAGAATTCCACTTCTGGGAAAGAGAGGTGAGTGAAACCGAATTTTTTTCAAAGATTAATACTAATTAAATGCTAGAAACGTTAAAGAAATGTTTTTCAAAAACCTTAACAACCCAGACAATAATTAAAAAGATTTTAATGTTCACTAGTATAGTGTTTTTTCTACTAGCTAGTTTATAGACAATATCGTTTTAAATTATTTATTCTAAGCGAGATTTGCTTCCACTAGTAGAAGATGTTCCTGATTTATAATTGCCTTGGGTTTATTAAAAACTAAACTAGACGACTAGTCAAGTAGTTTAATAGTCTATACTGATATAAAGAGGAAATATTTCTATTTTTGTATGTATTGAAATAACTCAAAAGCTAGTCGGCCAATTTTTGAAAATTCTTTCACCATTAAATCTACGTTATCTTACTTCTTACTAATATTATAAATGCGAAAGTTCAGATGGATGGATGGATGGATGTTTGTTAGAGTTTGTAGCCTAAAATGCTGAAAGGATCTCAATGAAAATTGGCATACATGTAAAGGATAGTCTAGAAGAACAGATAGGCTACTTGGTTTTGTTTCTTTTTTATGCCACGCGGACGGAGTCGCGGACGAAAGCTAATTAGGCTATATTCTTGTTATTTCTATACTTCACCCGGACGAAGTAGTGAGCAACAGCTGGTCGTTAATGTAGAAATTGATTTTATTTAGGGTCTGTTCCACCGAATTGTAAATTGATACAATCCAACGTGTAAAATATGTAATAAAAGTAGCGTGTTTTTTTCCCTTATCTGGCAATGTCATTTTTAAGGTATCTGAGCATGTATCAGCCAGTGGTGGGACAGGTTCTCAGTTAATTTTTTTTTTAACATAAGGTGTCAAACGAGCAAGCGGCCATGTGAATCCACCGAAATGGAAAGCGACCGCTGCCCATAAACATCGCAATTGCCGTTGCCTCTTAATTGACGGAGGAGAAGACGCACTTAAAGTGGACATTTTTCTTTCATATGCGTCTCCTCCACCGTCAAAACCACTTTTCTTTCCCATCCTGTCCTCTCAAGAAAACCGTGGAAAGGGAAAGGGACTAAAAATTAGGCCTGCACAACACTAATCAGGCTGTACACGGAATTGCGTCCACTTCACGCCTGTTTTCGGTATATTAAAGCGGGCTCTACCACTGTTTGCAGAAGTCGCGGGCGCTGCAGCACGGAGTCGCGCGCGCGCCGCCCCTCCTACGACATCGACAACATCGTCATACCGCAGAGTGTGGCCGCCGCCACGCGCCCGCAGATACTCACCTACAAGGAGATCATCACGCCCAAGTAATATATATATATATTTATATCTATACTAATATTTAAAAAAAAACTACGTATAACTCAGAAATCTGACAATTTTCGTGGATAAACCGTATCTCATGTGTTACTTTTAACCCTTAAATGTTAAAGTTGTAAAATACTACGGTCAACAAAATATATATGTTTGGATGCTAGATCTTTTTATTATAATACCGATCTAACATTAAATGTGTTTTTCGAATGATTTGGAAAATCAGGCGTTTAGGGGTTAAATCAGTGCCAAATTTCTATTAAACATTGAAGTATTGCAGAATTTTCGCGTAAACATGAAATAACAAAACTCTTTTTATTAAAAACCCATCACTGTAACATGCTATGTGATATATATTGTTATTTAATAAACGGGGTAACTTAATTGAAAAAAATTGTGATGCAAAGGAGCAAAATTGCCATGGTATCGGTCATTGTTAGCCAAAATCAAAGAAATTTGTTGTCATTGGTGTATTTGAATTTCAACATTTGCAATTTAGAATTTTGAAAATGTAAAAAAATTGAGCTTTTATAAGAGGATGACACCGCACGGGAACAGTTGGTTTTTAATTAAATAAAATTGTGTAATCTAAGTAGCACTTAAACTTGTTATGTCAACAGATGGAGAGTTCTCGAACTGCCGGAAGTGCCGCTAAATAATGGCATTAACAAGTCGAGTCGAAAGTCTGTTGATAGTGAGGTATGTGAAGTTCCCTAATAAACAATTACAAGCCTTTCATTTATAGGATGTACATTTTTAAAACCTGTCGATTTTAGTTGTTAAGCAACTTGTGTAATGTAATAGAAGTACGTACTCAGGCTTGCATTGTCGACATTTCTATATTAATATTTTATTAACGCTACATTTGTCGAGTGGCGGGAACGAAACGACCAGGTTTTAAAAATTAAAAAAACATCCATTTATCCATCTAAATATTTGCATTTATCTATATACAATAATATGAAGATTTATAATGTTGACATTGTAAAATCATTTGCGAATCGAAGACACTGAAACGAATTTTAAACACTCCTTAAAAATGGTAATGGAATGTATAGTTTACGCATGGTTTTAATCAAGATACTGTTACATATTTAAATGTTTCAGTATTACCAATAATTGTGTGATTTACTACTGAGCTATTTATTAAATAACGAAAGTCAATTTTCTAGTATATTTGCATACTAAAATGTTTCAGGAGGAAGATATATCCGAGGCGGCGATGGTAGCGCGCCACTCGCGAGCAGAGGTCAGCGAGCGTAGCCGTTATATGCGGAAACAGCGCTCGCGGCGATCCTGTCATGAGGACACCCAAGCACATCTACTGCCGCAGTCGCAGGCGATGTCCCAGACAATGCCCCAGACGGTGCCCCAGTCAATGCCCCAAACGCTGCCTCAGACAACGCCCCAGACGATGACCCACGCGCAGCCCCAGCAGCTCGAGCCAGCGCCGTCGCCGCAAATGCATGAGGCAAGTACTTACATTATCCATCTGTTTTTTTTTTTTTTGTATAAGAGCCCTCCACTTATGACATACTAGAGACTAAATATTTTCACACTTGTTAGTTTAAAATGGGGGTGATAAATTAGTAAAACGCTACGAAAAGGGAACAAAAAGACGAGGCAACAGCAGAAAAGGAGCAAGAAGAAGTGCATTTGAATTTTGAAATATGCAATTGAACATAAAAGAGTTACATACAATGAAATATAGTTTTTATATTTTCTTGTAGTAATTAATAAATGTATTATTTCAGACAGTGAGACCATACTCGCCGCGTCGGTTCCCACTGTCCGAAGACACTTACCAGGCGATGGTATCCAGCATGCCGCGCGCGCGCACCCCGCACACGCCGCACACCCCACACACCCCGCACAACCCCCACACCCCACACACTCCGCACACACCCCACACCCCGCACACCTCCTCCGAGGACATGGACGTCGAGAGCAGCCTCTCCCCCATGTCTCCTCTCATCTTTGACGGTGACGACCCTGATGATGCGGAGTGGAACCCCACCTCCGAGCGAGGGGAACGACGGAAAAGTGGCTTCAGATGAAGATAGTGTTTAAATTCAGTGTTTAGTGAATGTGATGGTTAAATTTAAATAGTGTTTATTGTTGATGTTCCCGCTCTGAAAGTTATCGCAGTTTGTTTTACATGGAATCTATAAGTCCTCGGTAAGTCCAAGATCCAATATTTAATGTCTTGCTTCTTGATTTGGACTCAATATAAAGGAATATAATGATATTCCTTTGAGATTTGTGATATAGAGTTTCTACTGTATTTGCCTGTGATCTCTATCCCTTCAGTTTTAATTGAAATGTAAGGTTAGTAGATTTAAATGTATAGATTGGTTCTGATAAAATGTTTTGCCATCAGAATGCAAGTTTAGTTAAAGATAATTTCAAAACTGCGTGATTTAAAATCATCAAAACGTCATTTCTTTGTAGCAGCTATACTTCTCTTTTATATATAACTTTCATATATTAATTTATATGATAAATGTATTAAAAAGTATGGAAATAATTTACTATACAAATTATAAAGAAACAATTGTGAAAACTATATGAATTTTCGACAATTTCTGTGTAATATGTAAGAAATGAATGTTTGCATTGTTATTTTTTTCTATTTGAGACAATTTTTCTCGAATATACCAGTGATAAAGTAAATATTATAATATAAAAAATATATAAAAAAACGAAGTTAAGAATTTGATGTCTAATTCCAGTTGCTTTAGATATAAATCTATGACAAAAGTTTCAACATAAAAATGTCTTGTCACAGCTAAAATTTGATTATATTCAAATACAAAAATGCTTTTTGATTTATCATTAAATTAGATTTGCATAACATTGTTAATAAAAGTTTTCAAATAGTTTATAATAAAAATAATGCATTTAAATAATAGAACAATATTTATCAGATAAAATAATGAAAATAACACCTTAATGACTATTCAAATGAAATTTTAGTTGTTAATTAATATTTCTATGACATTACACTTCAAAAACTTATTTAAATATAGGCTCTTACTGCTGAAGAACATAAATAATAACTCAGTCTAAATTAAAACACAAAAACAAACAATTAATAATATAAATATACTCTAAAAAATTACTAAGTGATGATGAAAAACAACTTATGGTAAGAGATATGAATGCAATTTTTTTAGAATTTCATTCCTCATGTCTGATGTTCGTTTTGTGCAAATACAGAATATCAAAGATGGGCGAAAGGCTATTTGTTTTAAGCACCACTAGGTTAACCATAGAAGCAAATCCTAAAAATAATTTCAATTGAAAAATTTTCAGACCGTTTCTAAATTAAAATTACTGTAATTCTGCATAATTTATTATTTATTTCATATTTAAAATTCGCCGATTCAAAATATATCTTACTAATACTTACGAACTTGATGAAATTTCGCATAGATGTAGCGTATAGTGTGGAAGAACACATAGGCTACTCACTTCTGTTTTTTTTTTAATTCCACGCGGACGGAGTCGCGGGCGAAAGTTAGTAAGTCAAAGCATAAAATAATGGTTGAAACAAATAGCCCTTCACCCATCCAAATGAAACTATGGAAATATGGGAATCTAATGACACCTTACACATTCAAATCAGTTCAGGCATTAATTACTCAATTGTCACATATATAAAAATATTGTCTCACTTTTACCACAGAAAAAGACAGGGATGGCAATATTTCGCATGAGTGTTTTTGCAGTTGGAACCATCAAATCCATTTGTCTCGCCAGTCTTATTTTAAAAGTACTAAAAACCTTTAAGCACTGTCGCTTGAACTGCTAAAGCTTTATTATTGTTAAGAAATTCATGTAAAATAATTGTAATGAAGTTTCTTGTATAAATTGTAACATATAATTATAAGATGTCCTGTTTCTTGATGCTTGAGTTAGATAAACCGGTATATGTTGATCCCTCACATTCCTTGAACGATTCAAAATGATACAATTAAAGTATCCCGTTTTTGGTAAAATGTCAATTTCAAAGATTTCGTAATTTTTCTGGATTATTACAATTTGTGTTTTTTGTATTAAAATTCGGTTACTGCGTATCCAAAGGTTTTGCTTGTATTAAAAATGTCTCATTGAAGTAAATAAGTTGATAAAATGTGTATTATATAATCTAAGTTATATCCAGTTTTTATTATTCCAGTCCAGTGAATTCGGTGCTGGCTTACAACTATGAAAGTGTATATACTTGCTGCTAAATGCAGTATGTATTGAGGTGTTTTGTTTAAATTTACCGATTAAATCCAGTACTGGATTGAATCGCTGGACTGGAATAATGTAAACAGGACTTTAGTTATAAGATGTAGTTTTTATAGCCCGGAGTTAACGCAAAGCGATTATGTAAATATTGTAATATTTGGGCGTTGATTGTAAAACATAGAGACTGTACAGAAATGCCTGGGAATCTCTGAAAGAGTTATTTTCCTAAAAATTTCATAAGTTTCAAAATTACATTGTTCTAGTTGTATTGGACATCTTGAATGTTTATTACATGACTTTGGTGGTTTTTTTAAACAATAATTTGTGCTAGACGTAAATTTTTTCAGAACATAAAATATGTTAGACTCATTAAAACAACTTCGATTTTTTTTATTTCATCTTTAAACATTGTCATGAGATAGTATAAAACATTTTTTTGGTGCTTTTGACCTATTTTATTAATAAATTTGATTTGTCTCATTGAAGATATAAAGGTGTCTGAACTATAAACGCAGTACAAACTGCAGGCTCTTGTATTAATATGTCATGATAGGATTCCACAGTTTTCTGTTATAACAAGTGAATTGGCTTTCAATTTTCATTATATATTGTACAGTGTGTTGTATTTTAGGTATAGCCCAACCAAAAATATAAAAATCCTGACATGGTTGTTGCCGTAGAGGAATATGGGGTAGGTTACCTGCCCCCCACCCCTTCCACTCCTAGACCTAGTCTAGATTATCAAGCAATGTCCTTGCCTAGAAAGAGTTAATTGTCGTTTTTCTGTGAGCAAAGTTAATTCCAAATTTTCCCTCAAAATAGCAATGGTTCTTACATTTCTGGTCGGGCTATAATGTTGTAAAATAAGTTAATTTTAAGTTAAAGGAAATGTGATACTTGCGGATTGCTTGGGGAGTGCAAGTTATGGGCTATGTTTTGTTTGTGCTTGATGGGACTAATTCAGTTCAAAGAGGTATTTAAATAAATACAAATGGTTAATTAGAGTTTTAAATGAGTTGATTTGTCATAAAATTATTAAATAAAAATGATTTTTGTCAATTGTATGTGTTAAAAACATTAAAACCTTTTTCACCAAATAACTAAACTCTTTTAAAATGAAGAATATTGCATCAGATTAAATAAGAGTCTAAAGGTTATATCCCAGTTAACTTTAAATTAAAAAAAAAAAACATTTTAGTCTTGGATTTATTTTCCTTGTAAAACTGAAATAGTCCACACGCATATTGTTTGAAGATTTCTTTAAACAAATATGTAAATTTGATGAAGTGTTTTTATTGTTTTTACTTTGAAGGGAAGCCAAAGTCTTCTTGTTATTTGTAAGAGTAGTTTAGTGATGACGCGGATGTTAGTGTACACAGATAATAAAAGTTAAAAAATTAATAAGTTTTATGTTTGTTTTATTTATCAGCTGCAGAGATTAAAAAAATAGAGTAGGAATAGTTGAAACTTCACTTTAAGCGTTTCTCATATAGTCTCACCAATAGTGGACCTAGTAGTTTGAGGTATTTCGATACATATAAAAATATAAATCTTTCCTCTTTATAATATTAGTATAGATGTAACAAATAATGGGTTCGTTGTTGTGGATTTTGGTTTGGGTTAACTCTAGCAATAAAAAGGTTCTCTTTTTAAATAAAAAAAAACAGCAAAATGAAGGTTATAATATTTTAATTAGATTGAATTTAAGTACATTAACAATACAAGCTATAATTAAACATGTAAAAACAATACACAACCTAACAATCACTACAATGGCACAATTTACAATACAAAATCTTACAAAAACTAAATATGCGTTTTTTAGCATAATTACAAAATGCTGTATAATACTGCAAGTCTGTTGTGATGATGCACAGCCTTTTGTGAAGCAGAATAAATGCAAAAGGAATGTCTATTTTTATTTCCTATTTAACATCAATTATATTACTAAATTCAGCTAAAAAATACATCTCTATCAATATTAGAAAGCAGTTTCTTAAACAAGAACATAAAAACTGGGGAATTTTTATAGATTCAAAAAATGTTTTCTGAAAATATAAGCATACCATACTATTATTGTATTATTGTAAAGTCAGTATTTATTTCCTGTATTCAGAAAATCTTCAAAATAATTCAATCATTAACATAAATTAATGTAAAATATAGTAAATAGGCGGATTACAAAAATATAATAAAAAATCTAGGGCCAGTAATCTGTTTTAATACTCTTCATGTTACTGAAAAACCTTTAAATAGATCAATTTTAAATTATCGCAAAAACAAGTGACAATGTAACAATAATTGGTAATTTAAAATTTTCAAGCCAATAATCGCTTTAATTCTACTACCTTTTTATATATTAGCTACAATAAAATTCCAATACATCAACATTCTCAATTACAACGAGATTCATTTTCCTATGAGAACATGTGCAGCTATCAAATTGAGTGAACACTACTAAATATCTAAGTGGAATGAGAATTCTTATACTATTTACCTACATTCATATTTTCAAAAAACTGGTAACGTTAGCAACTGTAGTTACCTTATTTTAAAGTATAGTGGCAGTGAATATTACAATGAAAGGCTTGGTACATTATTATTTAGCAATTAACCTAGGCCTTTCGGATTACAATCGCAGCACATTAAATTTAAGACTGAATTGATGTTTTTTTACAGAACGACTGAAAAGTTTTATATAATTTTTTACCTAACCAACATACTGGCAGTTGAAACAATCCAATCATGATAAAAAAACCCATGTTATGAAGATTACATCTGAGAATTTACTTACATAAATAGTAGAACCTCGATAAGTTAAAGTCCAAGGGAAACACTAAATATTTTAAGTTATAGAGGTTTTAAGTTATCATGGTTCTATGTTATAGAGGTTTTGGGCTCTGATGGGAAGGGAGGAGGCCACTTGCTCATTTGTCACCTTATATAAAAAAAAAGAATATTATTTTTTGAAGTTATAGAGGTTTTTATGTTACCGAGGTTTGAGTTATCTAAGGTTCTACTGTATAAGGGGTGACTAAATGTTGTTAGTTAATATTTCTCGAGAGATCCTGTATGCGTCTTGCATTACACTGCTTGCAGTACAAATGTCCATCCAGCGGGTAACATCCCCGGCCTTCCTCCCTGGAGCAGAGCGAGGCGCCGCAGTCCTCGCACGCGTAGCATGCGAAGTGGAAGCTTTTGTCCAACGCCACAATACGTACTGTCTCCTCAGCACCGCCTTCTGGCACTATAGGTTCCCTACAACGTGCACAGCGGGGAGCATATCTGAAATAATGATTTACCAAGGTTTTGTATGTTCTAAGCAGGAAATTTACCTGTGGTGTAACTAATGTAGTGTAACGTGAAATGAATATATTAGAGGAAGTTTGAGAGTAGCCCCAGTGGAAGAGAAATTAAGGAGTATAGTATGAGTGAAGAGGTGCCCTAGTATAGGTAGAGCTAGAAAGAGTAATGTAAAGGACGGAAACTCGGCGCGTCGACATTACGAGAGTAGGATAGAAAGATTTAAGAATATGATAGCTAGAAGTAATATAACATTAAAAAATTTATTTAGCAGAAATATAATTTTTATTTAAACAAAAATTATTTGTACACTCACCTCTTATGAAAATCTTCAATACAGTGAATTCGGTTAACCGCATCGACCGTGAATGGTATACCATCTAGACTCTTCTGACAGACGACACATGTGAAGCACCGAGGATGGTACGGCTTGCCGGTAGCTCGGAGTATTCTGTCCAAGATAGGGTCGCCACACACGCAACACTTCTCCAATGTATCTAGGTAGTCTCTTTCACATAATGCCTTGCCTTGTACAGCATAAAATGGGCGGCCCTGAAAACACAGACAAAATTTTAAAAGAAATAAACTCTCCCTTTACCTTATTAATAATTTTTTATCTACCTTAAATGTTATTATTGTTCACTGCATGTTTTGTTGACTATAAAGTAATATAATAAAGTAAAGTAAAGGAAATAGAAATGTTATTTTTACATTGTCAATAGTTAATTCTAAAGTATTCTATTTTATAAACTATTATGTGCTTAAAATAAGAAAATCGTTACCTGTAAATTAATACCACACAGCTGACAGCAAAAGCATTTGATATGATATATTCTCTCCATAGCGGTACAGCCCGTGGTCTCTCCCATGATCTTTTCTCCGCAGCGGTAACAGTTTCCACAGTACAAGGCATCGTCAGGCTCCGGAGTAGGCTCAACTGTACCCACATATCCGCCATACAACGAAGTACCAGATAATTGACTACAAGGTCTCGGATTTATCGGCTCGTATAAAGACTCGTAAGTTGACGATGTCTGTGAACCACCGTAAGTAGAGAAGTCTTGAGCATTAACGGACGCCGAAGAAGGCGGGTAAGCCGACCCGGGTCGACGTAATTCACTGTAATTCGACTGAGCACCCAAATCACTTATTCTCGACACTTCAGATCTCGCATCGCGGTCGCCGTAGATACTCTCAGATGCTCGCTGCATAGGAATGTTAGAGTAAACATGGTTCGTACCACCCGGAGGCAACAAATTACTGTACAATAGTACATCACCGCTACGAAGTCGCGACGAATTTCGCACAATGCAACTTTTTACGGGCACTAAATTTGAGTACGTAGAACTCGTTCGGCTTCCGTATTCCAATCTTGACGAATATGATGGCTCGCACGCCGATTTTACTGTATAACTCTGAGGTATTTGAGGCTGCGGTGCTTTACTTTTTTTGGGCGGAATAGAAGGTTTTATTTTAGCCGAATTAATATCATCTTGAAGCTTTGCGTCCAATTCGTTAGCATATATTCGTAGATCGGCTAATTGTTTATCCAATGTATTCATTTCTATACCTTAAATAATTACTTTTATGTCATATAATGAGTCAATGAGTAATTTTCAGAATTACACCTTTATCGAGAAGATAGCTTGTTTAACATGAAATGTCAAATTTGCAATAGTGATGTAGTGAGCAGAACAGTGTTGCTTATGACAAGGTGTTAAAATAACTTTTTGAAATGAAAAAATAACGTTAAAAATCGATTTATATCATTTAATAGCGTAATGTTTTTATATTATAGTAAGATCTTGTTTGTGGTCATTGGTTTAGATTGGATAAATTATGACTACATTTACATTGGTATAAATTTTTACATTTCCTTAACAAGTCGTTATCAAAGAAAGTTAACAAACAATCAATCAATTATTTTTAACAAGGAGTATATCAAACTTTTTATGCTATTGGTGACGATTGTGGCAAGAAACAGCCCCATGTTTTATAGGAAATATTAAAATGCAACTATTTTTAAAAGAAATATGTTTAGCACTCGTTATTCTTCAGGTTTGGGTATTTTAGTAAAATGACTGAATGTTGTTTGGTTGAATGATACAATTTGTAAATAAATATTTTTTTTTTCATAGCTAATATTCGTATATTGCCAAAATGAAGACGAAGGTAAAGTTCACAGGGCAAATCTTTAACTATTGCATCTACTTTGATAATACTAATACAAAACATTATTTTGCAGAGTTTGGTAGAACAGAGGCAGGGGAAGAAGAGGTAAAGATTTTTATAAAATTAGTAAAGAAAACTAATCGTGTCGTAAAATTTAAAAACTTGTTTGTTTGCAGTGGCACATGGATTTTATGCCGGTAAGCTGGAAATGATTAATTAAATATATTGGTGTTGTGTATTATGGTAACTATGACTTGTTTTGATGTTCATAATTTGATTTATAACCATCAGACAGGCTATCTTCCAGACAGCGTTTACAGAGAATTAGCGTGGTATGCTATTCTACAAATTCAACCACTTCACCATAGTTCAAAGCATAAAGTTGCAGCACACCTCATTTGGCAGCACACACTTGGTCGCCCCCACGTGATAATGGAAAGTCCACCTCAAGTAAGTTTCAATAAACCGAAGCATTGGTATTTCTAGGATTTGGAATGTGTAAAAAATTAATTAATCAAAAATACATTTTACAGTACAATAATTAAATGTAACCAACTAAAAAGCTAATAAAACAATCATTTTCTCTAGTCTACACAATCGGAAGGAAAAGTTAGCCGCCAAATCCTGGCTGAAGAAGCAGCTAAATGGTCGCGGGAGCAGAGAGCCGCACAAGAAGTACTTATGGAAAACATAAAAACTGGTGGAAACGGTCTCACTGTGCGGACTGTGATAAGTGCTCATCAAAAGACTATTTACATCATACAGAATAGTAATGTCTTATTGTTAGTTTAGCTTTTAAGAAACCATTTATTGATGACTTCTTACGAGAATAAATCAGGGTTTCTGACCTCTCAATGAATTAATTCAGTGGGAACGCCTGTAAATTTATGAATAATTAAACACTCATTTTCAGGTAATTTCTACAAGTGCCCAGAGGGTTCAGAACCTGATCTGGACGCATATCGACTTCAAGCGAATATGCATGAACGTAAATGTACATTCGGCAAACCTTCAATACCTGTACCAGTAGATCCTTGCATCGAAGCTGAAGTAGCGCCTATTGAGTATTCCTTTCACGAAGGTTGGATGTTTTGTCTCGGGAATGGTGACAGAGAAAATAACTATTTCCAGAATGGAACTCTCGACTGTGGTAATAAGACTAAGGTATTTTTTTGTATAAAATGATTTGTATTTAAAATGGTTGACTAAAAGTTATAATTGGAAAAAAAACATGAATATTCTATTTAGTTTTAATCATTTACACTCTTCCGTTTTTCTAGGTCTCTGTTGATGAGTTTTTAAGAATGTGCGCCATTGATAACAACATTGTCATAACGTTTGAATATTTCGGTGATGAGCCGCGTAAAGACATGATGCATAATGCCACTCTCTGCACCACCTGGGATCCCTGTCGTCTGGCTTATTTGTATCGCTTAGAAGTAAGCATTCAATGAACGCATAAGCTTCTCATTCTTATATTGTAGCCTAAGTGTTACAACATTTTTATAATTCGTGTTCCAGCCACCACCAATCGAACTAACGCCCGCTTTCCCGACCTCAACACCCAACCCTTGTGACACGACAGTGTGTCCAGAATGTCTTGAAGGTGTTACGGAAGACCAGGGAGTACCTATTGAAGGTAAGGTTTATAATCTTTGAGGTACTTACTGATGCCTTTTAAAGTTTTTAAGTAACATATTTGTATTGTTCAAATTTCAGTGTTTTCAGGCGAAGAGGAAGCATAAACCAGTGTCGATAATGTATTCCATATCAATGTATTAAAATGAAGTGTGTGTAAATGATAAATAAATACATGATTTTTAATTTGTGTTTTTTCATTGAGCCTTTAAACAATCCGGACAGGTTAATAAACATTAAATTTACCCTTACCTTCTATTTCGGCCTAATTGATAAGTTAGGGTGGGTTTTTTCACCGTCATTAATACGAAACGTTTTGAATTGTACAAAACCGTAAACCTGACCAAATATGCAATAAAATTGGACGTTATTCGCACTTTACAATAATACGCAAAACAAGTTGAAATCTTAAATAACTGTTTTTAATAGTTTATAATAACATTCTAACAGTTACATAAAAACGATTATCCGCTTTCGATTATTATGCTTCAACTCGAACATCACTAAATCATATCATGAATGTCTTGTCAATTCAAATGACGAAAGTTGTCATTGTCAATGTCATTAATCATGCTTGGTGTCTCATGCTGAAGTTATAATTATTTTTAAAAATTTTGCTAAAATGGTTGTTCTACACAATTTACAAGATATTTATCTTGAATCGGCAAGACAAGTAACACTAAATTTGCCAACAATTAAACAAAACTACTTGAAAATTGATTATGGAAATTCTGATGTAAGTTTTGACCATGTTCTACAAAGTTTTTCCCTCAGAGGTTTTTCCAATAAACAGTATAAAAGTATAGGAATTCTATTTAATCATTAATTATCTTTTTATAATCGTTTTCAGAATAAAGGAACAGTATACAATGGTTCAGAACCTTTATTACCTTTTGCTGCAAGTAGGGTTATTAAAGCTGGTATCAGAAACTGGAAACGGCTCACAGCAGATCATGAGGATTGTAAGGCTGTGTATGAAGTGACTTTTGATGTGACAGTATGTATCTTTCAATATATCTTCATTCTTAGACATAAGACTCGTGTATATAAAAATATTTTTTACTACTAAAGGAGAAACTAATATGGTGGTTTCTGGTGGCCGCCTACTCCTTTGTCACGTTAATTTTTTAAAAGCTGTTCAATGCCTTTCTTGTATTTAATTGTATCACAATTTTCAGGGTAGTAATTTAAATTTCAGGCCCGGCGATACCATAGGTGTTATTCCAAGAAATCTCGATACAGAAGTCAGTTTAATTATAAATCATTTGGAATTATCTGATGTAGACTGTAGTTATAATATAACTGTAAACAGTCAGAAGGGAAAGATACCTGCCCATATCCCTGTTAAATCTACATTGAGATATGTTCTTACATATTGTGTTGATTTGAGAAGTGTTATGAAAAAAGTAAGTTTTAGTAATTCAATCCATATCATAGAATAACTAGAAGTGTGATTGAAAAATCACATGCAGAAAAATGTATTATAATGTTATTGTCTAACAAGAACAGTTTACTCCTTCATTAAAGGCCAGTATTGCATTTGCTATTGTAGATGTGCATTGCTGTTGGATCCTTAAAAAATCTGTCTTATTTGTGTTTCAAAGTTTAGAGATATACTATGATATATTATTTTGTGTAGCCGCACCTTCTGTACTGCCATGTATACATTATTACAGTAAAGGTAGCTAGTAACTGGCATAATATGTACTCGGTTTGTAGTAATTATTTGTCTTTTTTTTTCAGCTGTTCCTACTTGCATTATCAGGATATACAAAAAATGAAACAGAAAAGAAAGTACTTGAGTATATTTGCAGTAAAGAAGGTTCCACAGCATATACAAATTGTATATTAAATAAAAATATATGCATTTTAGATTTATTTGAAATTTTCAAAACATGCAAACCTCCTGTAGAAGTTATATTAGAACATCTTCCTAGATTACTGCCTAGACCTTATTCTATAGTGAATAGTTGTTTATTAAATCCTAATGAAGTAAAGATATGTTTTTCTGTAATGGATATTGGAAATAATAGAAAAGGTCTTGTAACTGGTTGGTTAGAAAGTCTTATACATAAAAGCCTTGAAGATATGATGAGTAATATCACTATCACAGATAAAAAGTACACAACCATAGACAAAGTTCCAATATATTTGAGGAAGAATGTAAATCAGTTTAGTTTTCCAGAGAATATGTCAAAGCCAATGTTGCTTATTGGTCCTGGTACTGGTGTTGCGCCATATATTGGCTTTCTTGAAGAACAAATGAAAGAAAAAAAACCAAACGAAAGTATTTGGTTATTTTTTGGCTGCAGAAATCCTGATTTAGATTTTATTTATAAAGATAAGTTACAGGAATTTAAGGATTCTGGTGTGTTAACTAAATTGATAACAGCTTTTTCTAGATTGGAGAACTGTGAAGATAAATATATACAGGTAATTATAATTCTTGGTATGTTAGAAATTTTTATGTAGGCCTCAATCGCACGGACGATTTTTTAACGCTTTACTTGGCAAAAAAACTTTGGTTTCGTTTTGATAGAGCTTAAAATGTGATAATGCGCGTTAAAAAACACCCGTACTTAATCCGGTATTATTTTTACATATTTTGTTCATACAGGGTAAGTTGTGCCCTTATATTTTTTGTGATGTTTAAAAACATTTTTTTTACAGGATGCAATATTCAGTAATGGAGAAGAAGTAGCCAAGTTACTGAAAAATGGCGCGTTAGTTTATGTTTGCGGTGACGTCAAAACAATGGCCATTAAAGTAAAGGAATCTTTAGTGAAGTGTTTAGTTAATTTTAATGAATTTACGCAAGATGAAGCTGAGAAGTTTGTTTATGCTATGCAAAAAGAGAAGACATATTTAATTGATTCATGGAATTAAAATGATTTCTACTGTAATTTGTATTTTTATTTCAAATTAGTTATGTGAGAGTTTTCTTAATCTTTGGTTGCACAGTAGTCTGAATAAATATTTAATTAAAGAAAAGGTTCGTTCAGATAAAAAATAAAAGACATTTTATAAAAATAATTTAATAGGCAAATCTCTAATGTAATAAAATGTTCAAAAAGTGTCATTGGTGTATACAAAATTATAAATAGAGCGGCTTAATTTTAATTTAACGCAATTCGTTGTGCTGTTTATACACTGCATAAACTTTTTTTAATTCATAATATTACCATAGAGTAATAAAGTCTGAAAAGCAGGCACTCCTGGCATAGAGCAACGCGCGTGTCAATTTCCAACAGTCGAAAACATCTTCGAAAAAAGCTAACCTTAAATTTAAATATGGCTACAGATAAAAAATACAGAATAATACATTGTGTTTATACTAATTTTTACCAAAACTGGGCCCGTTGTGCGTCGTACTTAATGTATTGGACGAGTTTAACACATCTAAATGTAGTTAGAAAGCCATAACCAACATTTTAAAATTTTAATTTGTTTAATACTTTTTTAAAGCGTAATTACGCAGATTTTACATTTATCATTTTTCGATGTGAACCAGTATTCTTGTGTTCCAGTCGACCTTCAATAATTACTCGCGACTGGATATTAACAGGTTTTTTATTAAAAACAAACCAAAACCATTCCCACGTACTTCGAAGATAATTGTATTTTTTTCTAAGCATATCAGAGACACAATTACTAGCCAGAATACAGTCTTAACAATAATTATTTAATCTAAAATGTTGAAGTAACCTAAAAGTTCTACGCAATAGTAAAGAAGTATAAAAAATAAATAATTGGTCAGTTGAATCGATACCGGAATGTTGAAAAAACAGTAGCGTGTAGAATGTAAAAGTATGCAGAACAAAGATTTTTATTACATGAAAAATATCACATTTAACACATTTACTGCCACCTATTGGCCTAGCGAGTTTGTCTAGAAATCTAAACAAGTCTAGACAAATATACAGGCACACAAAAACACATTGTAATAATCATAAAAGCACGGAATGTGTTTATCAGTTCATCTTTAATCGACGACTAAAAAATTAACCGTTTTGATCCAGTAAAGTGATATAGTTTTTATTGCTATGATTACACTATAAACCGAGATTCGAATAAAAGTCGATGAAAGTTGTTTTTGGAAAGGTACAAAATAACTTGAGATGTCTATACAACATGAATCAAAAAGGGAATGTCAGAAAAAATGGTAATTAACATAATACTTGACATTCAACACTTTTCTTGCTACTACGATGTATCTTGTGCGCACACTTCTTTCTGAACTTCAGGTTATTCAAGAGCATACTATATCTTTGGACCACTTGTATGCTTACAATGCCACTACGAAACCCAGTGCCAGTCACTTACGAAAGATTAACAAGACACAGGCTGAATTGGTAAAGGGAGAGTCATAAAAATAATTGAATTGAATTATTGAACACGCTAGGCCAGTCACCGACACTAAATGTGTTAAATTAATGTTGGAACGGAAAAGTCTATTTATTTGTAAAATTATACGTAAATTTGTTCCACTCTATTTTATAAGGAAATCAGAATATCTTAAGCTTAAGAAATATATCGTAAAAGAAATAGATTATCAAAATACTTGTATGCAACATACAAAAATACATATTTGGTAAAACGGTATACAAAATGCCACTTATAAAATCGCTTAACGGACTAGCTACAAATATAATTATATGTACATATATTTTTGGTAAATTAATAAAAAAATCGCATTATTCTTAATTCATGTAGACAAAGGTTATTCCCACAAAAACATCTATACTCACATTTCTTTCCGATATTAAACTAGAGTCAACAATTAGATAAAAATCTCTAACTACCCTCAAACTGGCACTGTACTGAAATCATTTACGCAACTTTAATTTGAAGGTGACTTTAGCATAACAATGAACTACGTTGTCTCATTACAAATGTAATCTTCAATTAAGTGAATTTACAATGCGATGACCATGAAATGACGTTTTATCCGACTACCTACACATATCTTTTGAGACAATTAACTTGTAACATCTGCCAAGCTTTGTTGAAAAAGTATTGTAAAATCTATTATGTACGTTAACTGTATTAAAATTAAACTGTGTCTTAGACATTTACAAATAAACCGTTTTTCCAGAACTATAGATAATAGACTTTAATTCAACCTCACGATTCCATTGTCTTAAATGCCCTTCACAAAATGCGTGGTAGCTTTACTTTGTATCATTGAATCTGTAGTCAGGTTAAATACATAGTAGTTTTTGTATTTACAAATACTTTTTTGTGCATTTGTTAGGTGATAATGGATTTTCAAACAATAAAGAAAATAATATAAATTAGTCTAAAAGATTCTCTCAAATTAAAGGGAGATAATAATCAATACAGTTTCCGAGTTTATAAGGTCTGTAGTGTTTTTAAAATTACAGGTCAGGCTGTTGCCATATAATATAAGTTGTTTTACGACAATAGTGTTGTTTCATGGGAATAACCTTATAAAAATCGAGTTTATCGTTAATTTGGACGATTACAAAATAGAACTCTTAAGTCACTAATCAAGAGCACAAATAACAAGCGACCTATGACTAATTTAGAATAAATTCAATACCTATAAATTAATTATGGCATTCAATTGTACATGACACAATTTTATCTTATTTCAATAACGCCATGGACGTTACAGTACGTAACACATGAGATGGCGCACGCAAGTGATTTCAGTTCTGTAAAACGTTGTCCTTGTCTATCGGAATTACGTAATACGTCAGCATCAGTGCGATAGAGACAACGGTCTACAAAACCGAATACAACCGATCTTTGCCGAAGTCTTACTCTTCCCAGCGTGCCAACTTAAATGTCGCATACTGTATTGTGATGTATGAATATCAATATCAGGAGCTGATACCATATCGGTTGCGTTTAGTGATAAAACACAATCGTAGAGCGCGTTCCGATATTATGTGAGAACGCATTACATTAGACTAGGGAAATTAACTCGCGTTTTTATAATCTTATGGAGTCCTTAATGTGGCAGGGGGGCTTAACAGCTAAATCTCGGTATTCGAAAGGTTAAGCTAGTCATATGTCCAACGAAAGTCATCATTATCATTAATATGAGTTTGTCCACTGTTAGACATCGAATTTAACTTCAAAATCTTTACTGTGTGTAATAAAGAACGAACTCTATTAGTTTACTGGGAAACTGCAAGTAGTGAAAATAACTTTTTTACTTTTTCTATACAGCCTTTTTTGATTAAATCACGTCTGATATAAAATATTGAACTGTTTTTGTAATAAAATGATCCTAAAAGGGATGAAGTAAGGTTGAATTGTTTTTTTACACCTACAACTTTGAGCGTTAATATTTGTATGAAAGATTTAATGCAAGTTAATCGAAGTAAATTGGTCCAGAGTAATTTTAAACCCTGACACATTTAGAAACAATAAAAATTATAATTAGACGTATATTACACGCGAAAATATATTTTTAACTGTAATTTACAGTTCAATTCCATTTTGCATTTGTGTTACATGATATTTTTTTAAATAGCACAATTGTTATCACGCATCGATAAAGTAATTGTGCATGTAGTTTCTTTAAATTTCTATTAGCAAAATGTAATTACATATAGGTTGAACAACCTTTAGACACCGTGACTTCTAATAAATCATATTGTATTAAACCAAATAATACATAGGTGTGCATAGTTTTAAACAAAGTAAATGAGTAATAAATTGCACCAATTACCTTATTACAATACATACTCATTTAAAAGATTTTTCACTATCCTTATCACATTACCTTTTGTTTATAGGATTCTTGTGATCCTTTCGTAATGTCCTTGCCCTCTCTAAGACGGATGTATGTAATTTCGTTGTGAAAATATTTACACAATGACGTGTCCTAATATTACGGCACAACGATAATAAAACGAGTAAACGTTATCAAAAATTTCTTTCCGCCCGTTCAAACATGATGCAGTCTTTTGGTACGAATGACCAGAAATAATTAAAATACAAGCCTTACATTGGCACTTAATTTTTATATGGACAGACATTTTGTTCAAGAATTTGACAATCTGGATACATTTATATTGTCATTGTCTGCTTAACCTAATCGTAAATCTAAGCTCACAAATAACGTAAACAGATGTGTTATGTTTAACCAGCGAAATTACATAATAGAACTAGAAACTGTTGAAATAAAACATGAAATTTAATTACCGTTCCTTATTTCAATCGTAACTCTTGTGTAGAATTTTCTGAGCAGCTTTTATCAATGGTGTTAACGTCTTCAGTTCCATAGCGCATTCGAGGAACGGATGAGCGAGTAATTCGTCTGCAGTCGCCCTTAAATCCACATCGACTTGCAGACATTTGTCCAAGAAGTCTTGAAAATCAGGCGACAAAGATTCCCATCTCGGAATCTTCGGTCTACCAACCGCTGCTATCAAATACAATGCACGTAGTGGTGTCTCTTTCATATACGGGGGTTCTCCTTCAATCATCTCTATAGCCATTATACCCAATGACCAAACATCCACCTTTTTCCCATACTGTTTCCTTGTCACCACTTCCGGTGCCATCCAATATGGTGTACCAACCATAGTTTGTCTCTTTTCATCACCAACGATATTAGCACAGAACCCAAAATCTGTCACTTTCACTGTACCATCCATGCCAAGTAGCACATTGTCAGATTTAATATCTCTATGGATAGTTCCTTTAGAATGTAGAAAAGCGACTGCTTGCAGTGTTTCACGACAAACTGCTGCTATTTGTCCTTCTTTCATGACCACTTCGGTTACAACATCCGTCAATGAGCCACCATCAAGTAATTCCATAGCAACCCACAGGTGATCATAACTTAAGAATGCATCAAGGAAGTTGACCAAGTTCTTGTGGTGAAATCCTTTTAATACATTGATTTCGTTGAGTATGAGATCTTTTTTGGATTGTTTTGTCAAATCAATATCTTTGATGGCAACTCTGGAGTTATCCTTGCTGTCTATAGCGATGAACACAACACCTGGAGAAGAAGAAAAATACATCTAAATGGTTTGGAATATAATTATCATAAAAGAAGATTATTTGGATTTCTACTCAATCTAAAACTGGTATAGTAGCTGAGATATATGTTGTGGTTAAATTCAAATCTCAAACACTTTGCGAAATTTTAAGTGTGGCCTTATCATTTAAAACACTGTTGCATATTAAAATGTTTCAGAATTTGGCCATTAGTGGTTTAGGACAATACATAAGTTAAACAAGGTGAACCACCAAGATATTTAAAAAGGCTTATACCTCTTTTAAATATTACCGTGATTAAAATCCTACTAATATTATAAACATGTAAGTTTAGATGGATGGATAAAGTTTGTAGCCTAATGGTTTCGGTTAATGTTAAGGCCTAATTTCATCGAGACCTATTCAGTGGTCTGAATCAATCTCAATGTAATTTGGAAGAACACATAGGCTTCTTGATTCTGATTCATTTATTTACACACAGACGAAAACTAGTGTTCCATAATACTGATTGTATTATCTATCATTCTCTGCATATTTAAACTTACATAATTATAAATTCAGCAATTGTTTAGTGGCTATATCTATGAGATTATATGTAAATATTTATCTGTGCTATCAAATTAACTTTACTATAAATATTTTTAACAGATAAGAAAAGTTATGCTAATGATGCATAGATAATGACATTGGAGTATCCACTCTAGTCTACAATTTACAAACAAATAAGATGTTAAAGAACAAATATCTTTACTAATACAGTTTAACAATATTCAACTCATTATAATCTAATCTAAGTCCTAGGGGAAACTATAAAACTAATAACAACTGTTTACAATAGTTCCATGAAATATTGTAATCTAGCAGCAAAATATTTTGATTAACTTAGCCAATACCATGTTGTATTGTAGCCAAGGGAGGTGCCTACCAATGTAGATGGGCCTTAAGTGGTACCCAAGCTACGCTGGTCTAGCTGGTTGATAATTAAATATATAGTAAATAAAATAAATAATGTATCCATACCATAAAGTAAATAAAATATGATGGTTTTAGATTTCTAATTATCATCATTATTTTTGGTAAAATTTCATTAATTGGTATATAATTCATTTAAGCTAGAAACTCAATTAACTTGACTGATTGTTTTTAGTCATCTGAATAATTGAATGTATGAATAAAATAGCATTTTGTCCATTTATATTATATAATGTCAAGTGCTTGATAAAAACAACAAATAATCTATGAAAGTCAATAATTTTTAAAGAAAATTGAGATATATTTTCAAACATCAGATTTAGCTAACTAAAATAATAACAAAATGCTTAGTACGCCAATCTGATGGGATGTGGGCAGTTTAATACCAGTAATTCAGATAATTGCTATTCAAGAGTTTACTCTATATTGCACAATAATAAAGTAAAAAATTCAATTTACATATAGTTCATTCAAATTGAAAGTAGGAGTTATATCTGATTGCTTTATATCCAAATTGTATACATAGATTGATCAACTATTAAAAAAAAGAGTATATATGTAACCGAAATGAATATAATCACCTTATTAACAAGAATTATGCATTGATTTATGTAAACAAAAGATAATATAATTACCTGAAGCCCCTGCACCAAGTTGTTTGATTCTCTCAAATCTTACATAAGGATCATCTTTATTGCAAATCCTTTTCAACTCCTCGTACACTTCTTCATCAGTGAGGGCAGCATTCATCATCTCTTTCTTCCGTAGAATTGGACTTTCCTCTGACTCATCTCCTATCAAAGTCAAATCTTGAACCACTGCTGTTAAATCCATCATTGCATCTTTCTTTTTTAATCCATGTTTGGTTGGTGCTGCTGGCATTGTTTGTCTTTGGGAGAAGTTGTCATTAGGTGCAACATCTTCTTCACTACTCTGACCGATAGATAGATCAGAGTCTTGACTTTGGTGGGCATTTTTCTTATCTAATAATTTCTCTATCTCCAAATCCTCTTCGGTGATAGCTTCTTCTGTCACAAAAGGTTTGAACGGTTCATCCTGCGCCTTTTCCTTCTTTATTGTGTACATATGAAACTTTACGGCCTGAATGGCCGCGTCCGGGTTTTCGTTTTGTTCCGCGGGTGTAATTTGCGTATTTATAAGTCTCAACCATGATGATGGCAGACCTTCCAACATTCCTGTTTCCGAATTCTTACTTACATGGATGTGTTGCTTAACGTTAGTAGGCATTCCGATCTCAGTCGCCCTCTCATCTTTATTATGCTGCTTTTTATAAAACAGCTTCCTCAACACACCTCGGCCAGACATTGTGATATCTTTTTTAACACTTCACAAACAACTATGCCATCGCAATACACAAATTTTGTAAACGAAACACTACATTTCACGCACCAGATTATTGAAATTAAATCTAATTAAGTATCGTCGAGATAGGAGTGGCTAATCGCGGACGGACAGACTTTTGTAGGCAGAAGACAGACTTTATCACTTGTCAAAATTGTCCAGAAAAAAAAACTTTATTCCGTTTCACGCTCAGCATAAAATTTATCCTTTAAAAACATTTTATTAAAGTATTTACAATTATAGTTTTATTGGAAATATTAACATTTTCTATACTTTGTATTTATAATCGTGTATTTATCTTGACCAAAATATTAATAGAATAATTGTTGCAATTAAAAATGTTATTATTTTTGTTCTTCTAAAGTAGAGTGGTTATAGGAACGTATTCTTTTTTTTGCGTTGGCTGGCGAGCTTGATGATAAACGGAATTTAGGATGATTCACTCTTCATTGTACGTCACCGAAATAAAATATTTAATCGACAAGTTAAATAACATTTGAACAAAACTATAAATTAGGACACACTTTAATGTAACATGAATGAATGCGTCGAGTAATAAACTTTCACATTCGATTTTAATACATTTATTTTCATATATGGAATCATCAAAGGAATGTTAAGGACCCCTTAGCACAGATTCATTTTATGTACTTCTAAAAATAAAAAGAATACATGGAGGTTAAATTACTTAAATTTTTTTCGGATTTCATACTGTACCATATATTGGAAATTCAAAATGTCACATTCCCCTTTAGCATAACCATCATTATCATCACAAGCGTGGGTCAGTCCAATACCCTATCAAAAAGTATAAGTTACTTCAGTGCGAAAGAGCCAGCTGAAAACTAGGCTCAGAACAAGTCCGTTTGTGTAATTTCTTTTGTTACTTTTTTGTGGCAATAAATAGGTATCCATTCATTAATTCAATACTGGCTGTACTAAGCTAAATTAAAAAAAAAAATCTTATAATTCTTCATTTCTACTCTCTAAGTTTTTCAGTACGATTTAATTAAGATCAACAAATATTTCTACATAAAATAGTGTTACAAATACATCATACGAGATTCTCATATACTATGTAAATGGGCAGTGATAAGGTCGATTTACCACGCCTCGATAACACACTGAAACCGCAATTAGTTTCACAACACCGTTCACCTAATTAATTATATATCATGGGTTGTAATACAAACTTGATTTATTTGTTTTAAATTTTGAATTCATAAGACATAGACAACGTAATAAGATTAAAATAACACACACCATTTCTGCATATTCCGAAATATTTCGACAAAATCGCATCTTCAAAGTTGATCATTGAAAATACAGAGATAATTAAAATTGTAACTTCAGACTCCATTCAAAGGCACGGTTAGATTCGCGGCAGTATTTACCTCTAGCGTTTCTACAATTTAACTAATGATATTTTGTTCTAATTAAGACAAATACTAAGCGAATTAGCACGTTTCTTTTGAGAGTAAATTTAAACAGACATTTTTGTGTGTTTTGCGAGTTTGTCTGGTGATATATTTTGGTAGCGTAACGAAACATTTTCTCTACAAGGACGGCCGTTTTGTATGTTAATGATATCACATCATCTTAACTATCGCTTTACTTTTTGTACAGAAACCCGCTCACGACATGATCTCAGTGATATACGGACTTTCGCGGAGTCAATACTCTCGCATGTTTTTGGTAATTAACTTAGATTGTTTTGTGTTTTTTTTGCAATGTATCGCTACGTTTGATGTGTTATATGAATATTTAACTTATCAATGTTGTTAGTTGTAAAATAAATTGTGTTGTGAAACTATAATGGTAAGGTACATTTTTTTAAATAAAATTAGAGTGCGTTACAATAAGAGGGGAGTGAAATTTCTATTTTATTGTAATATACATGAGTCTCTTTCGCACTATGAATGTAGCTACATTGTAAATGAAATTAGTGTATGTGGATTTACTTGGGTTCTCTTGAGTGTCAGCGTGGGTGACTATGGCTAAGTCACTCCTAATGGCTCCGGGCAGGGGCCTGTAAGGGTACTGGGGACCTATAGAAAGCTAATGATGATTAGGTATGATAAAATGCTAAAAATACTTTTACTAACAAAATTATAAATTCAACAATTAATGTAGGTAGTTATAAAATGGATTGCTGTAGTGTTTCATGCATATTTTAGTAACTTGAAGCAAAATAAAATCTCTACAATTATGGACAGATGCGCTTAATCTTTTCGCTTCTGGTACCTATGTTCCTAATTACCAAATACCTACATTCGGTTTTTTAATTTATTAACGTGGGCTTACCCCATTAGTAAAATTAGGCCACAGGAGCTGTAGATTGCTGAATGACGCGTGTCGGCGGCAGGGCGGGCGTTTGCCGCCGCCCACCGAAACAGTAAAATTCAGTCTCGACGTCCACTCCGCGCGGTCCGCCCGTCGTCTCCCGCGGCGACAAAACGAAAATAACTCAAATTAACATTACTCACCAATAATTATAACCATAAGTGATAAATAAAACGCGCCATTTCTGTCGCCATTTTGTTTATGTCAATTTTTAGCGGGGACGACGTAACGCGATGAAATTGTCAGTTCGAAATTTGAAAAAATAGTGCGTTTCGGATACACGGTGTGGAATTTTGTGCACCGAATTAAAGGATTAACAAAAGGATTCTTGTCAACAAGGTAACATCTTTTAATACTTTTCCGTTATGATGTCCATTATTTTATTTTTTGTAGTTATTATTATTTATCGTAATAAAAATGGCAAAATATTTTAACATTATTAAATAATAGAGCTAACTAATAATAGATTACTAATATTATTACTACTATTGTTGCCGTCTTTAATCGATAAGGTTCACCTTACATACCCGCCTACAACTATTTAGCTACTTGCATTCCAATCAACTTACTATAAATGTATTCGATTGACGTTAACATTTTTAATACAAATTGTATTATAGACACAATATCTCCTTGTTAAGTTTATATTATGAGCGATCATAGACCTGAATCCATAACAAAAACTCTGTTATGTTTACTTAGTAATTGGCTAGTCTATTGTAATGCTATTTAATTCTTTTTGACTCAGTAATGATGGTTTTAACTATTTAAATGTGTTGAAATTGAAATGTACTAGTTATCTTGGTATTTACTTATTACTACCATCACGAAATTAAAGTTTATATACAGGAGTCCTGACAAGAAACGCGGGACTGCCGACATGTAGATTATATGTATTGCGTGGTGTACAAATAAGGTGGAGCTGAATGACACAAGAAGGCATCTATTTCTATTGTTATATAAAGAGTAGTTAATATTCATCTTTTTGGACAACAGAGTAGTGTAGCCTATTTGCGACAAGGTCGTTCAAGCATATCCCATCGTGACAATGTATTACTGTATCCTGGTGAAGGGCGATTTTGGGACGAAACTTGTTAAATTGCATTCTAAATAATAGTACAAACGTTTTTGACACTATCGCTGTGATCCTAAGTTTGATTAACATAGTATTTAATATGGTCTTTAAAGTTTCGTATCTTCATATTCATTTCGACATCCAAGTTGTTTCCCAACTCTAAACGAGGATATTAAAATATCTCGCAACAAATGCAGTAGATATCTTATCGTTAAATCAAATGATAGGCTATCTTCTACGTACTTACTCTTAATTTCTTGTGGTTTTCCGACTTTTTATATAATCTTCAGCGATTATTGAAACAGTCACACGTTCACAATTCCGTTATAAACATGATTTATAAAAAAACATAAAGACGAATTTATTACCTCCTCCTTTTGGGAAGTTGGTGAACAACATAAGGCGGTGGTAAGCTTTACAAAAACGGAATGTAATCTTTTTTTTTATTTCAAAACTAACATCGTTTGTAATGTTAATATTTTAATGCAAGTATTGTGCATAAAAAATACTATAGCAATGAAATTCCTTGGGGTTCAATGAACTTGATTGTCTACAAAACAAGTCTAATCATAGCTTAAGTGTTAATTCCTTTCAGGCACGGAATCACAGTATGATGCAACTGCGACTATCCGAAAATAGACTTTTTATAGGTTTATCAAAGCGAATATTTTGGCGGCAAATTAATCTTTTAGTGTTCCTTTCTGTGAATCCTTTATAATTGATAATTATTTATATTCGCCTCGAAGGTCTACATCGTTCAAATAAAACTAGAATTCTCAGTTTATTGGAAAAATATTTACAGTGTCACATAAGTCACATTCGAGTAGCAATAAAACAGCCGCAATATATCTGGTTGAAAAAAATTAGCTCAACACAAATATCTTTGAAGGCGTCTGTGCGTAAAACTGGGACAACACTAAACAGTTTCTACTGTGAACTCAAAATCAATTTCGTGAAGCACTCGACCATATGCGGTGTTATTTTTTTACGTTATTAATGTAACTTAATCTTTAGAAAATTTATAACATATTAATTTACAAACACAACCAATATAAATATGATAAAGAATTAAAAATAAACGTCTTATTTCCTCGTATGTTCTTGTTTTACCAATGATATTAAAATAAAAAAGTAATTAAATTTGAAAATGGAACTAATTTTAGTTCTAAATTCAAATCTTGTCATTTTCAAAACTCGTAGTTCACTTCCTTTCTGCTTGTGACGTCACCGTGGTATCCTATTCGAGACCCGATTTCACACAGAGTTTGGCTCAGAGCCATCGTATTTCAGCAGCGGCGTGAAGGTTATGCCAGTATTAGCTATGACGTGCAATATGGGTTTTACACTATCATATCCGTATTTTAAACTTTGTTTACGATGTCTAAAAGGTGGCTACAACCAAAAAACAATGTTTTTATTTAATAGATCCTGGACAAAGATAACAAATGTTTCTTCTCAGAAAAGTTGATCTAGTTTGTGTATTTCCTCTTTGAGACTTAGGCCATAAACATTTAACTTTTTTTGTATCTCATATTTTCTACTAAAGTGGAGTCAACGGCCTTTGCAGAGATTTAGGCGTATTGTTTACGTTATTCTGCCGGTTGCCTAGCAGTACGCTGTTCGGGGGTCGACGTACAAATAACTCGGTAATCGGCGCCTATTTTCTTAATTTAAGCCAGTAGGAGTAATCGCACGAAATGCCGTGGAGATTTAATACTAAAAAACTACAAGAATAATGTTCTTTTCGGGGTTAGAATTTACTTTATCGTGATATTCCGGTGCGCGAAATTTTACTTAGTTTAGTCTTAGTTTTTGATTTTGATACCAGAAAGGTCTTGATCAAAATGAGCAGAATGTCGACCGTCAAAGGTAAAATATTTTTTTTTTACGCCGATAACTTAGGAAATATCGTAAATCATACTTTATGCTAATATTATAAATGCGAAAGTTTAGATGGATGGATAGATTTTTAGTGTTTGGAGCTATAATGGCTGAACTGAATTCGATAAAATTTGGTATAGATGTAGAGGATAGTCAAGAAGAACACATAAACGCGCTAGACGAGGACGAAGTCGCAGGCCAAAGCTAATACTATATAATAAAAGCTGTTAAATTCAGGCATAATAATCGTACATTATGCACAGATACAATATTTTACGTCACTAATATCTAAATATCTAAATATCGGTATCGTGTCAACTGAAAAACCGAATTGAGAAATACCACAGGTTATGTATGTCAATTCAGTGTGTAGAAACGGGGCGTTGCATGCGAGTTAAATTAGGAAACTAGTGAGTTACATGGTACGTTAGTGTGAATGTGTGATTCAGTCATTATCAAGAGTGTCATGGATATTTTAGAAAAGATCGCTCAGTCAGAGCGGGCGCACAACTTTGACTAAACTATCGCAAAACAGTTGTGCGATTGTCGATTGTTTCACATTGTTGATATTTATTTTGAGGTTAGTCTTTCCTGAAATAAAATCTGATTATTAATTCTTCTTAGAAAAAATTAACCTTAGAATGGCGGGATATAGAGTGGGAAGGAGTTCCCGCGTTAATGGAATGTTCTGGGTTCCTCTGTCACATGAAGAAAAAACTTTTGGGATTTAAGTCTATTAAGTTTTATCATATATTGCATTTCTCACGTGTAATCCATTTATTTAACGCATGTATTGTGATGGTCTTCTTCCAATTGCCAGCATTAATATTGTATACGAGCGTTCATGCATTGCAAATGGCGTCGCTGTATAGCTGACGACAAATCAGGTCGGATTAGGGGTGGCTATAAATGTAAAAGGAATGTTACATCTATAACAATTTTAATATTATTACTCATTAGCTGTTGCTCCCGACTTTGTAGACGTGAAATTGAAAAAATAGTACAAATATACACACTGATAACATAGATTTTCAATGATGTAGGAATTTTTAAATCGGTCCAATAGTTTTTGAGTTACTTCAATACATACGAAATACAAAAAATTAAATCTTTCCTCTCTTAAATATCGATACGTAGTTTACAGGTAAATAGGTGACCATCATTAGGATTCAGAGTCTGTGGCACTAACTCCCATCTTTTCCAGATTTTTAAAGGCAATGCAATCTAACTTTCCGTTTACTCTACAAACGCATAACAATTATTCCACTTGGATAGTAAGCAATGTTCAACCCTGTACGGGGTCGCCGGTCCCAGTTAATTGGAACAATTGGGAGCGTCCCGCTCGCAGCGTTTCCTTATGATGTTGAACTTAATACTGGCTTTGACTTATACGGGTTCTCTCATATAATGAAATACACAAGTAAAAGGTATGGCTGATGACAGAATATAGAACTAATCTTGCAAAAGACTCCTTTAGATTTTAGTATCATCATCTCTCCTGCCTTATCCTACTCTCATAGGGTCGGCGCACCGGGTTTTCGTCCTCCAAATAACTCTATCATCATCTCAGTCATCACTCCCTTCTTGATCATGTCACCTTTAACGCAATCCATCTATCTCTTTCTAGGTCTACTTCTACCGGTGTACCCCTCCACATTCATAACTAATGTCCGTCTTTGTTACATGCGATTTATCTCTTCTCATAACATGCCCATACCACTCTAAGCTTTTGCTCCTTATTTTCTCAACCACTCAAACACTCTCAAATGTCCTCCAATATTCTCATTTCGTATCTTATCCAATCGTGTTACCCCACACATCCATCTTAACATTTGCATTTCCGCTACATGTATTCTCCTTTCATCCGTCCCTTTATCGCGAAAAATATCTTGTAGACATTTTTTAACAGCTAACAAAACAATTGAATAAAGACTGTTTAACAATTTGAATGGCGTTTTCCGGAAGTTCTAGATAAGAGAGAAAATTGTTAGATTTTTAAGGCTAATATCTAGTTTAAATTTGGTATTTTGTACGTAATAAACATATCCATGTATGGAAACTACGGCGGAATCGTTTGATGTTTTGTTTGCTACTAAAATCAGTTAAGCAAAGTTTATAGCTAACTTTCTTTATAGTAGAGCGTTCATTAACGAGTTTTGTTTGTGTAATGTGTTTTTGATGTAGATGTATGAAGAGTATATTGCTGCATCAAGTAGTCTAATAAAACCGCTAGTCTTACAATGTTATATTGGAGCTTGTTGCAATTAAAAGATTAAATAAATATATTTAATGCCGGGTTTCTGAAGTTTCCATTGATTTTATTTTTACCCAGTGATTAATGATTGGAGTTTAACTGCAATGGAGTAAAACTCAAGTTACTTCGTTCGGAAACATTTTTTGAAGTTATCAAACTAAAAACACTGACAATTAGTTAAATGTAGCTGGGAAACAGGCCATTAGTTCCTTAAAATTACTATTTGAACTATTCCATTGTACTCTTAAACTTGCTTTATCTTGGTAGTAACGTACAGAGAAAAGAAGAAGATACAAAACGCAGAATACTTATCCCTGTCAGCAACAAACTTCGCTAACAGCTCAAGCAGTTTAAAAACTTCGACAAAATTAAGTTATAAATACAAGTCAGTTGATAGTTTGGATTATATATTAGAATCCAAATGTCATGTTAAGAGAAGCATGATGCGATCCAAAATGGCGGCTATCTGTTATTCGTGCGTTGTAACGAAATAGGTTATTTTTGTAGAGCATCGTAACAGCTGCTTGTTAACACTTTCGATGCTTCCGAATGCCTCGGACTGCTTCTTAGAAGTCCACTGGAATTCTAAATGCAGTTTATTTTACTATTTTTATCTTGATATTTTTTGATATAATGTTCTAATCTGATACTTTTTATGATGTCTTTTTTAAAGTTTGCAATACAAACAAAACAACTGCCTGTCTCCTATAAAATATTAAATAATAAGACTAAACTTGTGTTTATGTCAAGCACAAGTTCCTTTACACGCATAAATAAAATAAATAGTATAAATTTCAAAATCATTAAATTAAGTATGCGAATTACATTTTTTTTATTCCGTCGGGTATGAGCTAATTTCCAACATGTTAATTAACAGTCACAAGGACACTAACGCCCCCTTTGCGCTCATAATGTCACTTTTAATAAACGCTTTTGACGTTTCATCGAGATCCGACACACGAGGGCCAATTTTTAAACCTCTGATAGTTGGCAGATATCCATAATATACTAAAAAAGCTATCTATAATAGTAAAACTTAGTGCTCTTATCTAAAGTAGATCTTAATATATCTGATATTTCTGGTAACTAGTGGACTTTTGAAGAAGATTAACGATCTCTCTATGACTCGACATTTACCTATATATTATATTTAACGGAAGACCGTTTCTTGATACGCAATAACGCCATACGCAAAAGTAAAGTTTAAAAAATCTTCTAGACATTACTGAAAACCAAGCATTGTGTAAGTTATATATGCTAGGTAGAAAATTAATTAAATGAAACAACATTCCACACGTCTGATATATTGTCGTGAGAGGTTAATTGTAATATATTTGGTGAAAGCGCCATGAGTATTCTGACATCCAAGTTGTTTTATTAAAAACGTTAAGTGGTTCGTTTTAATTATATTTAACATTCCTTTAATTATATAATTTCAGATTCCATAACGAATCGCACATCGAAAGACACATCGTAAAGGCGAAAGACCGCGGGCGTTCGAGACAGTACCCGAAACTACGAGCCGGTGGCGTCTAACATGGCGTCCACCGACACATCGACCTCCAGCCAACAAAGCACAGCCCCAGAAGACCACAAGCGGACCTTCGACGACGCGTTCCTCAACAGACTGAAAGCTCTCCTCGAAAGGTTGCGACTTGACAATGCCAACTTGAAGAAAGCTCTCGACTCCGAGCGGGGCGAAGTCCGAGCGTTGAAAGCCCAGAACGAAAGCACAATCAGACACCTTAAGACTGAATACAAAAAGAAAGAAGAATTCTTAGAAAAACAATTAAGAACATGTTCTATAAAACCGGAGAAGTTAGAAGATAGTCAATTAAGTTGCAATAAAATTATCGAATTGAAACGATTAACGACAGAGATTCAGTCTTTGAAAGCAGCGAATAAGGGCCTTCAAGAGAAACTCAAGGTACGTATCAAATTTAAAAGTCTCATCTTAAAATATTAAAGAAGAGAGTCTAAGTCGTCTTAAAATTTCAAACTATATATGTCTTCTTTACTTAGAAGGGTTTCTCCTACTTTCTTCCTCTGATTTTTGTGGCTATTATTTTCATATGGCTATTTAGCTCGCTTTTAGCTATACTCTGTTTTACATGTAATAAATAAGTCTACTCTCTCTTAAGACTATGTTTTCTAATTAATATTATGATACAAAAGCAAAAACATATATTGGACAATTATAAGAGTTAGTTTATGTTTTTGATACGCTCAAGAGGGTTACAGGAATTCTATAGATTATACTGTTTAATTCATAAAACAAACCGCAGATATTCTTTTTCATAGAGACAATATTAACGTTTTTATTACTTTCGCTGGGTTTATGATAATGGTACATTAGCAGGCTAATTAATTTGAAGCACGAATGAAACTAGCGTCGCAATATTTTCGGAATGTTATAACTAAAAGCGAAATAATTAAGTAATATTTCAATAATAAACATCAATAAACTAACTGAAACTCCTATGAACAGAACTACGAAGATTTCCTTTACATTTTCACTACTAAGTGGTTTCCTTTCCTTGTTCTCGTCTCCGTAGATAGATTTACCATTGGTCTTGTATAGACTGTATTCGTCTGATTTACTCCAATATTGTAATATACCTCCTTGATTCAAATGATGAAGGATGTTGTTTAGTTTCGGTAGGTATGGACTTCCATACCTCAACCCGTATACTATAGAACATGGTACAGGACATTCTTCTACCGTGTGAAACATCGGTCTTCCGTTAATCATATTAGATTGCTGTCTACTAATGAACTGTGCGTCAGTCTTTCTCAATAAAATGGCGTATTGGAACTGTCTCTTTAAAATTGCTTGCTTTATTTGATTGTCGCTAAATATTTTTGTCCGTTTTGTGATTACGTTGTAATAGTCTCCCCCAAGGCTTCTGTTGTATATGTGCAAATGTCGATTATGTACCGCAAAGGTTAAGTTTGTTTGAAGCAACTCTGAGAGTGTGTTTATATCTGGTTTGTATCTTGGGTACGCTATTGCTGATGTTATAATACCCTGGAAACAAATAAATAAATGTAATTTTTATTAACCAAAAGGTCATCTGAGGACTGAGCTATAACTCAAAGCAAAATCACAATCACAATTCAACAGTGGTAGAGCCCGCTTTAACATCTTCGCAACACTGAGCCGGCTCGCCCCCAGTAATACCACGACCACACAGAAAACAGGCGTGAAGTCGAAGCAATTCCGCGTTTCGTCTGATGAGTGTGGTGCCGGAGGCCTAATTTTAATCCCTTTCCCTTTCCATCCTTTTCTTGAGAGGGAAAGATGGGAAGGAAAAGTGGATTTTACGGTGGAGGAGACGCATAGGAAGGGGAAATGTCCTCTTTATGTGCGTCTCCTCTTCCGTCAATTAAGGGTAGGCAACGCATCTGCAATTGCAGATGTCTATGGGCAGCGGTCGCTTCGCCATTTTGGCGATTTCAGGTGGCCGCTTGCTCGTTTGCAACCTTATGTTATAAAAAAAAATCCACAATAGCATACTAGCTAGGTTAGATCTGTCAATTAGCAATGATTTCAGTATGCATCTTTTCACGACTTGATAAATTAAATAGAAAAACATTGAATAAAGCATACGTACATCAACAGCACAATCCACGACTAAAGAATATATCATGATTAGGAAAACCACACATCGAAATATCGGTCCTGTAAATTTGATATCAACTGTCTGTCTTATGAAGCATTTTATCAAGTCAACAACAGTCGACGATGAATCTCGCGTATCCTTTAAATTCCAAATCCCCTTCTCTAAAGCTCTTGCAACAAGAGCTACAGATATAAAGAAGATTACATTAAAAATGCATAGCAGTAACATATCCACTGAAATAAGCTTTAACGTCGTCATAAATGTTGATTGCTTCAAAGATTTCTTTACTAAGAAACACAATTCGTCTTGCACTAAAGGATACGTTGTATCGATATATCCATAATAAGAATTCTTAAGGATTCTTGAATTCAGTTCTAAGTCTGTGTATCCATCTATTAAATCCGCAGTAACTCCAGTAGCTGTTCCATTGCTTAGTAAATCACCGACAGTGTTCGCATCTCGCGGTGCTAAAGGTTTGCAAGTGGCATTTAGTATTTTCATCACGGTCTCCGCAAGTTTAGTATCACAGTAAACAGGTCCATTTATATTAGACACGTAGATTTTTCTGAACACACTCAAGCGTAACTCTTGACCGAATAGATTGTTGTACTGCTGAGCGAGTAATCGACCTACATCTTTAACGTTCGTGATATCTCTTATTTCATTATTAAATGGATTGTAAGTGTACATTATTAGACGACCGGAGTATAGTACCATAACTGAGTTGGTTATGCTCCTGCTCAAAAGTATACGGAAATGTAACTTCATGGTGTAGAAGAAATAACTGTCCATCTTTACTGGAGTGTTGATGACGAATATGACCGCACTTCTTGGTTTGAAGACGCCTGTTCTCATTAGAGCTTCGATAACAAATTCACTCCCATCCAGAGATAGTTCATTGGAGGTCACTAAATACGCAGTATCTCCATGTCTGTTTATTCTTGGTTTGACTTTAGTTTTGTTGGCATCAGGGCAGCCATTGAGTAGCATAATGGGGTAACCATAACCATAATTTTCTGTGTATTTCAAAATCCTATTCTCGAAGTAAGTGAAGTCACAGAAGGTGATTGTGAAGAACCATTGCTTGAAAGCGTTGAATATTTTCTCGACGACCTCGAACGCGTATTCCGCTTTAAAGGAAGTTTGGTTGTGATAGGTGAAAATTTCCTTGGATAGTGGGCTATTCGGGTCGATGGAAACTGAAGGATGAAGGAAAGTGACGATTAATAGTGTTAGGAACATTGTAAGCCGTTGTTTGTGTCAAGAGCTGGTCGCGGACTGCGAAGTTTAAGGTCGTTTGAAGCTTTCTAGTAAACCATTAATGAAGCTCGTAGCGGTTAATATAGGCATGTCAATTATCGGCGCAAAGATAATATTGTCTGCGTTTAATTAAATCGACATTGACTTTATTGTACTGTGCCATTATTATGTTTACGAAGTTTTAGTAAGGCCGTAATGAAAATCAAACACAATTAAATTTTTTAATCGTTATTTTTCCTGGACATATTTAGATTTTTTTCCTTATAAATACTTAACATGTTTATTCTTGTTAAACTTTTAGACGGTTTGCATTTGCCTTACGGATTTGAATAGCAATCTTTTAGTTGAACATTTATAGTTTTATTTACTCCTAAATTTCTTATGACTTGCAATGTTTCGGTACTTATACGTACTGGAAGAAAACCACAATGTTTTATTTGTTCTCCAGTGTCGATTGAATATTCCGCATACGAAATTCCCTGATTTAAAATTGTGTTATATTGTCAGGTGGCGCAGGCGGCGGAATGCGCGCGCGCTGCGGAGCTTCGGGCGCAGTGTGCGAAGCACGCGGCGGCGGAACACGTAGCGAGAAGAGATGCTCGCGCGCAGTGCCATAAGCTGGTACGTTTACCCTATGACTTCACGTAGGGTATTTCATATTTATAAGAATGGTATAGTTTTTACATGGTAGAGTCCAATCACCTGCAATTACATTATTACTAGATTTCACCCGCGACTCATTCTGCGTGGAATTAAAAAATAACTAAATTGCGTAGCCTATGTGCTCTTTCCGACTATCCTCTACATCTATACTAAATTTTATCGAAATCCATTTAGCCCTTTAGACTACAAACTCTAACAATCTAAACTTTTGCAATTATAACATGAGTATGATTAGAATGAATTCACAAAGAATGAAAGGGTAATATGTTTTGTCAATGGAAACCCACTAGTATTAACAAATAAGCTGTATTGTGCCGGATGTGTTCCTGTTTGATTTCTAATTCCTACACCTTTCAAAGGCGACCATTAGACTTTATAATTGTTTATTTATATTTGTAACGTCCCTTTCATTACCGATGACGTCATCGCTGACACGTGCGATGACGGTCGCATCTTGTTTTGTTTACATGTCGGCGTTTATGCCGGTTTTACACGAGGACAGAACAGCAGACAATGCAGCACTGCACTACCAGTACTAATGTGACAGTGTGTTCATACAATACTGGTACTGAAGTACCCAACTGCTCTGCGTATAGCTCTGCCCTTGTGGAATAATTATGCATTAGTTTAGTTAATGTGCATTGTTCTCAGCTGGAGGAAATCAAATCGAAAGAGCGAGTGATAGCACAGCTGCGACGGGAGGCGGCGCGGGCGACGGCCTCGCAGAACGAACAGGTATGTTCACATGTATTAGTATTTTTAATTTTAAAAATAAAAATTGTAGTACAAAATAATACCCAAACTAGTCGTAGAATGTTGAAATTACGGTTCCTTTAGATTTAAAGGTTTTAAAATCTTTAACTAGATGGCGTTGTTACTAAAAATTGTTTTAAATTTAGAACAGCGCCATCCATTTTATTTGTATTGACGTTTTTATTGTGTTAGTTTGTTTTTTCACAACGTGAATTCAATTTTTCCATATAAATTAATCCCTTAGTTTTGAATTATTATTACACTCAGATTGATTTTTAAAAGTTTCTTATAAAGCTAATAATAACAATTGTATACTTTTGTAATCATTTTTGTATTGGTGCTGTTTATTTAATTCAAAAGCGAGATGTTGTTAGCGCGAGTTATTTCTGACGGCGAAAAAGCAAATAAAACACAGAAGTTGATCAGTTTTAACTATTAAGATTTCTACAGTAAGCAATGTAATGGCTTTAATGATTATTAACGGTTAAATTTTAATTTTATACATAATTCAAATAGCGTGAGTGAATATTCTATTAGTTATTCATAACTCAGATCAGGTTTACATTCCCAGTGTCGAAGGAACCTCTTACGGTTTCTGGGAAGTGCCTTTACGACATAAAATATACAAGAGACTTCGTTGTGCATTATACATTTTAAAGACGTATTCTTTCTTCCATAAAATTATCGTTTAAAGTAATATTTTCAACTAGCTCGCGACTTCGTCGTGAAATTAAAAATATTGCCTATGTTACTCAGTGATAATGTAGCTTTTTAATGTTGAACGAATTTTGGAAATCAGCCGAGTAGTTTTCGAGTTATTTCAATACATACAAAAATATAAATTTTTCCTATCTTTAATATTAGTATAGACAAGTATGATTCTTTTGCTATGTGTAATTTCAGTGTATTTTTTAAATACCACATTTTAAATACGTTACTAAAACATGCTTGTAATGTAATTTAATAAAAAAAAATACTGTAAAGTAAATGGTAACAAAATCAATGCATTTTATGTCATGATTAACTTGGGAAAGAATACCCAGAGGAAGTATCGGGTTACTGAACAGCATTCTAAAACAAAAAATACTAATAATCGAGAATCCAAAACATGCAGACCGTGTGAACCTGCCTTAGGCGATTGCACTGCGAGGTAATTTTGAAAGAATTTAAAACTAATTTAAAAATTAAATGTACAGCACAAGCTTTCGTTGAAAATTACTAACGTAGTAAATTATGCTTGTGTTATAGTTTGTCTAAATAATTTAGATTAGTTTGACAATTCATTTCATATTTAGTAGGGATGGGTTGTGTAAAATCAGTCATGAATCTTATCGATTTTCGATTTTTATTCTTTCAGAAATTGGAATCGATAGATTATAGAATAAGAAATAAAAAAACACAGTTTTCTCAAATTAATAATGATTCAAGTAACAATCAAAGATCACGCCAACTTATAGGAACTTAAAATAGTCAATATGCATATCTTTGTTGTTTGCTAAACTAAACACATACTGGGCATTGAACCCAATACCTTGTTGCAATTAAATTCTTTACACCAGGAATTACCCTCTACTGGAACTTACATATTGCCGTTCCTTTCATTGTCCTTAAATAACATGAGCTAGAGATATGTTTTATACAGGTGTTGAGTAATGGATACTCACGTTTATAACAGGTAAGCGTTGGTTCAGACGATTGCAGTTAAGATAAAACCACATCGTTCCTACATATACTTTCCATATTCCTGTTTATGCTATTTCTATTTTCAAATATTTTCTCATCACGGCTCAACGTCCCTCGATGAAATTTGACTTATACTCGTATGTAGCACATAATCTAGAAGAACAAGTATGTTACTAAGTTTTTCCAAACCGCCGTAGTCGCGGGTATATCTAGTTTAAAATATTAGTACTTAACTACGTAAATATAACTAAGTGGGGATTTAGGTTCATCTATGTAAATATTATACAAAGGAAAGATTCGTATTTTTGGATTTTTGTACGTATTGAAATAACTCAAAAACTACTAGGCCGATTTTAAAAATTCTTTGACAGAAAGGTAATTTATCTGTGACTAACATAGGCTATGTTTTTTATTACTTTGTAATCGCGGAAGAAGTCGTGATATTTTATCATTTTCGTTTTGCTGAAACTAATAAAATGTCTAAATCATTTTTTAATAACTGCTAAATAAACTATATGAGGAAACCTATAATTATAATTTACAAGTTCATATACCGACTTGTATTCTGTAAGTAGTCAGGAAAAATAAATACATATCCCATTATCATTCTCTGGAGTTGCGCGTCGAGACACAAAACGAAATATGCAATAGTGAGTGACTGGCGGACAGACCCAGTTGAATTGCCGCGGAGTGCGCACGCGTAGCCATCTTGGAATTCAAATTGACAGCGTTACGCGTTCCGTTTGAAATTAACGTTCAAAAACCGTCGTGTAAACAACATTGTTTTTAAAAGTGTTTATCGTTTGTGACTTTTAGTGTTAATTTAATTGTTTTTTTATTTAGTTTAATTTAAAGCTTTAACTGTTGACTGTGAGTGCAGTGACTGAGGAATCGTGATCTAACTAAATTGCTTTGACTTCGTATTTCGGATTTACTTTCTATCGTTGTAAGTATTTCATGTTTTATTATTTTGACAAGTGTATTAGAAGTAAAAGTTTCAATATAATTTCCAATATGTATTGGATTCAAATAAAATTTGAATATCAACCGTTAGTTGTAATGTAGTAGGTCAAATCTTTTGAATTGTTATGTATTTTGAATATTTATGATATTAACAGTTACGTATTAATTTGGGGCAAATGGTTTCAAATAGGAAACTGGACCGAAGTCATGTAAAAATAAATTAATACATTTTTTTAACTAAGTTTTTAAAGCGCTTAAATTTTTATAATTCTATATTTTAATAATAAATTATATGTTTTTCCTATCTTCAAGCAATAGGAAGAGTAAAGTAGGTACATACTGGTTTTTTGTTCGATAAGAGTTGGTCTATAAGAATTAAAATTATTCATAAAAAAATTATTAATAAACTTTTGAATGTAATTATTAACCAAATTATTTCATTTCGCACCGTTTTAGTTTATTTCAAGATTTCGTTGAGAAGATAAAGATTCAATCAAGTAAATCGGAAACTACCTTAGTAGTATTAGCTATTACTTTTAAATACGTACCTTAGCTTTCGCCTTTGAAGTCAAAATAAGCAAATAACGATTAAAAAAAAAGTTTTTTATTGCCTATTTTTAAATGTAATCCACAGAAGTTAATAGATACTGTCGTAGGAATTTATAGGTAATTTTTTATTAAGTAATTAGATTAGATTATTAAAAATATTTTTTTATGTGGTAACCCTAGTCTGATGGCCAGTAGTTGCAGGTTATTGGCCTTTAATGACTCGTCTCATGTCTTTCTTACAATAAAAAAAATATAAACAAAAAGCATGTCTTCATTTTATGTACGGCCAGTGTTTTGAATTTTAAATATAGTAAAGTCGATTGTCATATGAAATGTTCAAACGCATTCAAATAATGTTCTAAAAATGTTTTATAGTGAATGCAGCCGTTTCGAATATAAATTAGGAATTTATACAAATTATATTACACAATATTATCTATGGACATTCCTAAAAGTATGTTAACGTGTTCAACTTATTAATGTGTGTTAGAGCCTACTTTAAAAATGTTTACGTTAATATGTTACTTTCTTTATTTGGATATAAACTTAAATTTTTACTCGAATTTGATAATTTGGCACTGGGTTATTCGTTTACTCAAATAGATTTAAATTTATTCAAAAAGTTAGGTACGTTATGATTCAAAATGGATTGTCCCATGCATGAGTCAATAGTGAATATTTATTAGCAGTCTATCAATTTAAAGATTTTAAAGTGTATTTGAATATAATTGCGGATTTTGAACGTTTTTAATTTTATACTAATATTGTATTTCATGTTCATAATTCTCTTGAGTTGTGTCTTAATTAAATAAATTAATGACATTTTTTCAGTACTAACTAAAACCCCCCTAAAATGCGATCTGAACTCGAAGTTATCTCTACGAAGCGTCTTAAATTTACTTTTTAATTGCAAAATTAATATTAATATACTGGAAAATTCTGTTTGCGTTTTAAATCGTGTTTGCAAATCCCATTTCCCGTCTTGGATCATTTCTGTTTTCATTACCATCTGTTTTGCGGCGGCTTGATACAAAAACGTGACGACCGCCCATCTCTCCAGTATTCCATATAATAAATTACTGTCATTCGGTCTGTCCGTCGGCTCGTAAAGAACTTTCTATGCGTACAGCGCAAAATGTCTACACTTCGCTGGCAATTGATCGCGCTTTCATATTAAGTTTTGCTATTACGAATAAAGACTTCAGAAATAAACGATTAATGATTTCAGAGCTTATATGACAACTGTTTTGAATTGCAAGGTATTTTTTTGTAACTGAACCGCCCACAATAACTGTAACGTAATACGCTAACGATTCAATAGTTTATTATTATGTATTTTGGCATTTCTAGAAATCTTCGAATCGTAATATGGATGTCTCCAATTTAATATTATATGTCCGTATTCTGTTAACTTAATACTTTATTCATATGCCCACGTTTTCAATGATGTTACGTAAGAAGTCAATAGAGATACTGCATTATGTTATGCCATACTCTCAAAAATAGACGTTATCTTGTAATTATCTTCCCTGCATGTCGTTATCTTCTAATGTATGCGCTACTGTTGGAATAAAAAATATTGCATCATTACATTATAGTTTGATTAAATTAATTTGATACTTATGTTGAAAAATTAAGAGTATTTTCTCATTAAAAATTGTTACAATTATTTGAAGAAATTAGAGCTATCGTTGATTACTGCTGTATAATAGAATCGGTCGATAGATAAGCAGTCTCATAGTGCAGTTTCTTTTATTAAATGTACATTAACGGTTTACTTTAGAAAC